GAAAATATCATGGACTGATAGAATTACAAATAAAGAAGTACTGGAGAGGGTTGGTAAAGAAACAGAACTAATCACCACTATACAAACCAGAAAACTGGAATACCTAGGCCACGTGATGAGGGGACCAAAATATGAAATTTTGAGACTGATAATACAGGGAAAGATTCAAGGAAGAAGATCTGTTGGCCGAAGGCAGAACTCATGGTTAAAGAATCTACGTGATTGGTACCAATGCAGATCGATTGATTTGTTTAGAGCAGCAAGTTCTAAAATAAAAATAGCCATTATGATTGCCAACCTCCGTAGGGAGACGGCACTCTAAGAAGAAGAAGGATAATAGTCCAGGTTTTACTGAAGAAAATGAAGTTTTACACTTATAAGGCAGCCTAGGTTTTGAAAACTTCTTAATAAACCATTTACATTCAAACTGAATTGAAGTTCCTCCATGCATTTTTTCCCTAGTTTCCATGCATTTTTCAAAGTCAGTGTCGATCATTAGTTTGCGAATTTGAGAACCTACAAAAATTCCAACTTTTATTTTCTCAGAAGTTATCTTAGTAAACTTCTTACCCAAATACTGGAAACATGGTTTATTCTAGAACGCTTTCACGAATTGTTTTATTAAACCCAGTTTAATCTGTAAGGTGGAAACAGAACATGTAACCTATCATTGCTATCCCATTTACAAAGAAAACAAAGGAATTTAGTAAATCTACTTTGTACCGATGATTTTGAAATATCCACAAATTAACCATTTGTTTTTTTCGTAATCAATATTTTCCAAGTGAATTTTCATATTCTCGTATGTTTCTTTTAAATGGACGGAGAATTCTCTATTAGAATTTAAGCATATTTGTTTCCATTATGCAAAAGGGCAGTTTTAAAACTAGCTTTTGATGAATCTATAAAGAGTCTCCAGTCAGTAGATTTATAGTCAATTCCAAAATATTTCATCACTGATTGAATGTTATTACACAAAACTATTGCATCTCTTTCTTGATAGTAAAAGCAAGTTCTGTGTCACGATGACGATTCCAAGAAAAAATGACACTCCTCACAAGGAGAATTTTTTATTCCAACCTGGAAAGAAGAACTTCTGCAACATCCTTTCACGAATGTTTTTTAACCAAGAAACTTGTTTTCTTCCTACACCTCTACGGCTCTCTGTTTTGCCTTTAATGATCAGTTGTAATATTTTATTATACGATAAGACATTTTTCGATGTTTAACAGTCTTTAGCAGTTCTCTATCTTTCTTGACGCTCCTTAGTACTTCTTCATTAGTTTTCCTTACTGTCCTAGGTATCTTCAGCATTCGTCTATGAACCCACATTTCCAATGCTTCGATTTTGTTTATGATCGATACTTTTAACGTCCACACTTCTGCACTATACAAAAGTACGGACCAACATAGCACTTAACATTCTTTCTTAGTTCTAAACTGAGATGGTTATTGCAAAGAAATGACTTCATTTTTATAAAAGTAGTTTTAGTCATTGCTATTCTACGTTTTATTTCTATGTCTGGATCTAGTTGGTCCGTTATCACAGTTCCCAAATATGTCATTTTGTGAACTTTCTCAACTTGGACTCCGTTTAATTGAAGCTTTGCATCGGGATGTGGGTCACGACTAAACACTAAAAATTTGGTTTTGTTTGAGTTTATTTTAATGCCCATTTCCTCTCCTACCTCGTGAATACGATCAAGCAGAATTTGAAGACCTTCAATATTATCTGATAGAATTACTGTATCGTCTGCATATCTAATCACATTAAGTAGTTCCCCGTTGATTTTTATTCCATATGGTTGTCTCTCAAGTGCCTTTTTAAATAATTGGTCCGAGTAAACATTGAACAATGTTGGCGACAAAATGCAACCTTGTCTGACTCCTCGTTGTATAGAGATTTCATCGGTGTAGTTATCTCCAATTTTTACGATATCAGTTTGATTCCAGTACAAATTTTTAATGACACGAATATCCTTGTCATCTATTCCGATATTTTTCAGTATTTGCATTAATTTTACATGCTGTATTTTATCGAATGACTTGTCGAAGTCCACGAAACATGCAAATACATCTTTTCTTTGGTCACGGCATTTGTTAGGATGTTAAGGGCAAAAGTGCCTCCCTGGTTACATAGCATTTCTAAAACTAAATTGGGTATAGGTAAAGAAATAATAAATAAGACTTACTCACAATCAATTTAATTTAACTATCAGACGACCGGTTTCGCTTTCTACAATATGCAAAGCATCCTCAGGTCTCGATACAAAGTTAAACAAATGCTGAAATGATAAAAACCCATATTAGGGTGTTGTCTAATAACGATAAACACAGTAGATGTTGTAAATTACAATAATTATGCCAATATTACATTCTGTGTTTAAACTGTCTGTTTAAACTTTTAAAACTTTTATACTTTTTATTCAACTTACTCTTTTAAATAAAACCACAGACATGTAATATTGGCATAATTATTGTAATTTACAACATCTACTTTGTTTATCTTTATTAGACAACACCCTAATATGGGTTTTTTATCATTTCAGCATTTGTTTAACTTTGTATCGAGACCTGAGGATGCTTTGCATATTGTAGAAAGCGAAACCGGTCGTCTGATAGTTAAATTAAATTGATTGTGAGTAAGTCTTATTTATTATTTCTTTACTATTTGAAATGGACTCACACAAGCAACACATTCATGATTTAAATTGGGTATCTTCAAGATCTTCGCATTTGCGTCTTAATTAATCGATATTCTGAGCAACATCCTTTAGGAGTTTTAAATCTCTAACTAAATCATTTAATTCTTCTTGAGTAAAAAGTTTAGGTGAGCGATCTTCATCAGGTTCATATGCCTTATCACATACATTGTTCTCATTGTCACTACTTTCACAGTCACAGTCGTCATTACTAACATCTTTTAGAACAGTAGGAGGGATAGGAACAGGTATAGTGTCGCTATGAGCTACTTGTCTAATAGCAGAAGGTAAATTAGGATAAACAATATATTTCTTGTTCTTAACTGAGTAGCCACATATATAGTCAGACAAAAGTAACAATCATCCACATGATTTGATTGTTCTCTATAGATCATCGGTATTCCAAAGAACATAACTTCCTTTTTACCTGTTAACTATAGTCACAATCCTCGACACAATTCAACAAACAGTATGAGGAGCGCATGCCTTGTCTTGATCGCCAAGTTTTACACCAAAATATGAAAAGTACATATTTTCTATAAATTTGGTAATATGTTGTCTCTGTTTTCCAACCACAAAACACCACAAATATAAAAAAACACATTAGGGCTATTCTCACACGATCTCCGAGATTGATTCATTTTAGAATAAATAAAAAAAATGTTTATCCGTTCATAAAACACGACAGTAGAATTGAAACTGACGCGCAGACGTGCTTTCTGTATCTTCATTCTTGACTAAGCTTATCATCAGGAGGCTAATACTTCGCTCCATAATTAGCAAGGTTGCCAAATGTATACAGATAAACTTTGCCGTCGAGTAGGTACTTTAGCAATACTTCGAAATCATTACTTTTTCCACTCATCTACATGTATATTTTTGAACAAATTACAAAAATTTCATCACCAGATGATAAAACATTCGGTCGCATTTCTAAATGTAATGTTTATTTATGCAATCTATGTATTTAGCAAAAAAAAACTATACGTGATAGGAAAAAATCTCAATGATTTGGATTCAGCGCCAAAAAATACTCTAGAAAAACAATTTGCTTCTTATAGTGGCTTCCCACGATCGGCGATTCTACAGATCATCGCGGACAGCCGATCAGCACGGACGAGAACGCACCGCAGACAGAGCTCTTCCTACGGTCCGTGACAGTCTGTGTAGGTCCGTGACAGTATTGTTTGATTATATCATAAAAAGGCCACTCAGGCTTGTAAACATTAAATTCGGCATTAAATTATTTCTCTTCTTTTTTAATTCTTTAATCGAAATAGTACTATTCTTCAATTGATTTTTTATTCGGTTCCATACATCGTATATATCGGTTCCGTTTCTTATGCTCTGGTGCCGTAGAATTCCATAAATTTGTTTCATTTTGATACAAATTTAAAAAATCAAAAATAACTTCGTTTGTCCATTCCATTTTTTAGCAAAAAACTGCAAAACAACTTTGACAACACTACAGACAACTACTCGTGTCAGCGAATGAAAAACTTCTGACTTGCACTTGTCGTCTGTTAAAACACAGACGCGCTAGGATCGCGTCGCACGAGCATGTACCGCACCTTTGATGTTACCGACTCTAGATGGATAGGACGGACCAGCACAGACGTGCCTGCGCTACCACGGACGAAACCCTTCCCACGGTGCGTGGTGCGTGCTGGTCCGCTTACGTCCGTAATATCGCCGACCGTGGGAAGCCGCTATTAGACATCAAAATCTTTGCAGCACCATGTTATGAATTCCTTGTGTGGGAGTGACTACATAAACATTCAAAAAGAAGGAAGACGTACTTCAAAGCTTGATCTATTTCGATAGCTAGTAGGTAGCGACATACAACACGTGTATTAGACCTATTATGACATATGGATTAAAAACGGAAGGAGACAATAATAAAACTAAACGTATTCTTACAGTAGCGGAAGTTAATATATGTATTAAGAAGTACAGCTGGCAATACTAGAGGAGATCACGTAAGAAACGAAAATATAAGGGCACAATATAGGGTTAAAAATTAAGGAAGACGGCAAAGATCAAGACGAAATTAAGGGTAGCAATGTGAACAAAATAAAGGAAGATAGAGTGTCGGAAATTGCGGTAAAGTGAAAGATAGGTGAAAGGTGCAAGCATGAAAGATCACCCAAGAGGTGTGGAGACCCTAAGAAATATTCTGGCGATGAATAATTTAGGCCAAAAGAGGTCAAACAACAAGAAAATGAAATAAGATTTTATGTTTTATGATTGGTTCAAACCATGAATTACATGTTTCACTATATTATATATTTTTTGTAGGTGGTGAGCTAATAGAAGCATACAATCAAGGAGGTACGATAGAAGTCGAGAAATTAATTCGTGAACAATTTGGACAACTAATGTATCAAGAAGGAAAGGGCCAAATCATCAATAGATCTGAGTATTTACGATGGAAATTTAGGGATCATGAGCAAGTTACATTACCGATAGAAGCGTCTTTAAGCAGGTAGCCAAAATATTTAAAATCAAAATTTGGCCGCACATCAAGCATACTTTTTTTCCATTTACTGTAGTTTATTAAACTTAAGATACTAGACTATAGTTTCTTGTTGCAATGTAAACGCAAGAATATATTAAATCTTTCAGGCAACATTCGCTCCATTATTAACCTCTGATTTATTTAATAACCTAACCTATTCAAGTTCCGATAGGAACATATAATATGCACGCAATGAAGTTTCAGGCGAAGTTTAGAGTCTGGGTCTTCTTTAAGTTGCTCCTTCATAATGGAAGTTGGAAGTCATTATGGCGATTATAACTTAATTCACAGCTGTCTTCAATAATTTAGTGGAACTCATATTAAACCACTCCCTTAAATTTATAATCCAAGATATTCTCCTTTCAATACTGCGCATGCTCTTTACCTTTCTTTACTCTAATTTATAAAACTCTGGCTTATATCACCAAAGAACTCCAGTTTTTCCGTGTTCACGGTTCGCATTATTTCTTATTCTTTGTTTATTCTTCGCAACACTTCTTAATTTGTAATACGGTCTACTTATCCATAGTATACGTAACATTCTAGGGAAGCATAACCTTTCCAATATTTTTAATTTAGCTAGGTCTGATTTTTATATGTCCATGCTTCAACGTGTATAGTGTTATAATAATGTAACACTATACAGGAGTCCCACTATTAACGTGTACAACCACGTCATTATTTTATATTACATCCCAAATGTTGTCTGCTGATCTGCCTTAGTTGCCTAAGAACATAATTCTGATGAATTGTGTTGAGCAAGGTAATTGTACAATAATTGGTAACATTTTTACTTTTTCTTTTTTTGTGCGTAGGTATCTATGTTGGTCCTCCACTGGTCTAGTACATGCTTGCTATTGATACTGTTATAAAAATCTTCAGTTTTACTTTCTGGTTCGCTTATTTCTGAAGTGTAAACTGATATATTATGGTGCTTATTGTTTTCTATACTCGACGTCATTTTCAGGATTGTGTGGCTGATATATTTGACATCTTCTGTCGTTTTTCAATTTTTCGGACCAAAAAACCTACTCTTGCGCTTGCATAATCCGTTGTAAATAAGTAGAAAATTTTGATAGCTTGCTGTTCCTTTTTCTGTAAGTCCTAGTTTCTTAGAATGCGCTTATATCGAGTTTGTAAGTAGTCATTTTTATCAGTGTCCCTTGATCTCTTTTTGCACACGATTTAATATTCCTGCATGGTAATCGTAATTCGGCATTCTTTCTTATAGCTCTTTTCCTAACTATGATCGTCTTGAAGCTTTTGTCATCGGCACTTTAGAACTCTTCCCTTTTATCTGGGCTTGAGACCGGCTGTCCTGCTGTTAAGTTACAAATTTGACTAAAATTTTGGTCACCGAATTTTTGCGCTGGAATCATTTAATTTATTTAATAACCTTGAGTAGACTATTTTCAAACAACTGCTATTGGTCTATTTTTTTGAGCTTTTGTGCTTTTGCTAACCTAGAAGAACTGTATGCTATCGTGAAAGTATTAGGCAACATCCGAATATACTCGAGAGAATATTACATAATATATAACAAGAAGCTAATATATATGAAAAATAAAGGTATTAAAACAAGATCAATAAAAATCAACCTACTTCTCGAAGTGAAAAGTCAACAAAAACGTTTGTGCGTATTTCTATGAGCTTTTTTAATTATTTTAATTATAATACAGAATGATACCGAGCTCAATTAGAGCTGTAGAATTCTGTTTTAGATATAAGAAAAATGTTTCTTCTTATTGGATGAAGAAATGGTAAAATAAATAATTTTTTAGATATGATCCATTAGGAAAGTGGGAGGATCACGAAGCATGTTGGGAAATGCAATATCGTGGTTCATTGGGTGAAACATTATTACATGTATTAATTATTTGTGATACCAAAATACATACAAGGTTAGCTAGAACATTGATAAAGTGCTTCCCGAAATTAGCCTTAGACGTTGTGGAAGGAGAAGAATATTTAGGTAAGTGATCTATTTTAGTTTATATTTTACTTTACTCTTCTTCATTTTACTATTTCTTTTGACTATCATTGTAGTATTGTGTCATTTTATCCTTTATTTACTGCTGTTTATAATATTTTAGATTAGTAGTTTTTACATTTTTTTTAATTTCTCAGGTTGATTTTGAGTTCAAAAGGTGCCTTCATCAATACAGATATCTGTCATTTGTTGACCCCTCTCCTTCTAGTACCACAAACTTTTAATTCTAAATGGGAATAGACAACCTGTTGCACATCATTAGTAGATATTTTGCTGGACAATTCAGGATCTATGATTTTTCCATATTCTTGTAAAACGTTAATTTTTAAAGTGTTACATCTTATAAACTAAACGTAAACAGTTTACTTATCAGCATAATTATTTAATAAATATTTAAAATTATATCACCAACGCCATACAATTATAAAATGTTTTGAAGCATTTTAGGATTTACTTGACACGTTTCATGCACTATGCGTCATCTTAATTCTTCCAATGAAGCAGGAACCGTATTAGAAATCTTGCTTTTTAAATAACCCCATAGGAAGAAGTCTAGAGGAGTTAAATCGGGAGATCTTGCTGGTCATTCAATAAAAACTCTTCGTCTCAATGTCTAGTGACGTTTTCTTAATGTCCATAACTCTGATAGAGTGTCATTTATTATGACTTAGAGATTAATTTGGTTAGAATCTCCTCAGCACATTCAATTGGTATATTTCGCTTTAGTCATCGGTAACTTTCTGTTGGTCTCATCAATACTTAAGCCAGAATGTTTACGGAATTGCTGAGCATCTTTGATGCTATTTTGTCATCTATCAAAGGACGTTAGCCATCATCCTGAGAATTTTAAACTGGTGTTTTTCTATTATATCGACACCAGATCTTGACTCAGTTCTCCACAGTTTGATAAATCCAGAGACGTTTCAGGTCTTAAGACAGAGACACTTTCAGAAATTAAATTAGAACATCAAAAACCAGAAGGCTACTGGGGATAATAGAAACGAAGATAATTCTTACAAGAGCTGGATAGATAAGAATAGACGAAGAAAAAAGAACGAAATGGAGACATTAACAGAATGGAAGAAGGAAGAGTGGTGAAAATGGCTAGAGTTAAATCACTAGTAGAGGTGGAGCAACGACTTAAGGACGGATCAGGTATATGAAGATAGAACAAATGGCTAAGGCAAAGAAAAAAAAACAATAAGATAAATATAATGTCACGATCTATTGTTCATGCATTAATATATTATTTAAATTTAAATAATTACTTAAAATAACAATTAATAATAAATTTGTTTTAGGTGCTAGTGCCCTCCATTTAGCGATAGCATATAACAATAATGAATTAGTGCAGGATTTGGTAGAGGCAGGTGCAAACGTGAATCAAAGAGCCGTAGGTAAGGCAATGTTTAGTTATGATTGTTTAATTAGTCAGTGCTTATAAAATACTATAATAGATAATACTAGTTAAGTATATTTTAATTATAGGCTTTCAAAATTAATGGTGCTAAAAACTATTTTATTACATTTGATGATAATTGCTTATACTACATAGTGCAGTAAGATCCTCATATATTATAAAATTCTAAACATTATTAATGTGATATTAACCTCCTTGGTATTCAGAGAACTACGAACTACTGCGTTTTGATTATTGATTAGATTTTGATTATTATAGGCAATTTTATGCTGTCAGTGTTTGACAGAAGTCACTGTCACTGCCATCTTAATTTCTATTGTTGTTGTTAACATTAAGTGTATAATTTATGTTGATTAAAACCTTATATCCTAGGTTTTGCTTTATCATTTCAATTTAATCAACATAAATTGTACACATAATTTTAACAAAAACAATAGAAATTAATATGGCAGTGACAGTAACTTCTGTCAAACACTGACAGCATAGAGTTGCTTACAATATTCAAAGTCTACAGCCAAAGCAATACCAAGTAGGTTAATATATCATTCTCCCACACTATAATCTTTCAAATAGCGTGGTAAATGACGAATTCTTTCAGATCTTATAGGTACTGCTGAAGGAGGCGATAAGCTCTGTTCAGAACTCATTGGGGGCTCTTCAAGAAGTAATGAATCTGGTTTAGGGGAGATGTAGATGTATCATCACCAGGGGCTGCATGTTTTGCGTGGTTGTATTGGATGAGGAATCATTAAGGCTCGACTGTAACTCATGTGGGTCTTCTACGAATACTGGTTCTTGACCTAGTATATCTAGTATTTCCTCTTCACCTCGTCCAATCGGAACCAGATCACGATTAGACACTGTGGTTCGATTGAAAAAAAAAGTACCAGCCTGTCGTAGAGGAAGTGGAGGTAATAGAGGAAAATCTTGAATACTCTTTTGATAAACTGAAAGACGGACGGGAGATCACAGTGTCTAATCGTCCTCTGGCTACGATTTAGAACAATTATTGTTAAGTGAAAATAAAAATTTGCTTTAAATCTATTTGATTATGTTTAATCCAGCTACTGCTCCGGAGATATTGTTGTATCATTCGATATTAATATGTTAATTACTATATATGATTAGAATGTGTATCTTCATGTCCATGTCACGTAAAATGACTCTAGACAAAAGTGTTGTGGCAAATTGTTTCTTTTTTATTTCAGGTAGTTTCTTTCTCCCTAGGGACCAACAGAGACCCAAACCAGCAAAACATACGGAATACGAAGGTTTGGCATATTTGGGAGAGTATCCTCTAGCTTGGGCTGCTTGTTGCGCCAACGAGAGTGTCTACAATCTACTGTTAGATAGTGGAGCAAATCCTGACTACCAAGATAATTTTGGAAATATGATATTACATATGGTCGTTGTCTGTGATAAATTGGTAAGTATATTTTAATTCTAAAAAATTAAAAAACGGATATGTTTTTGTATACACTTATGACACATCAAATAATGAAAAAAAAAAAAGTATTTTTGAAGTGTAAAATTTATTTCCTAGCTGAGCGCTTTCGCGACAGTTTTAAGTGTTTTTTCAAAGAAATAACTAACTTTATAAAGGATAATTGTGGGTTTTTCCACCAAAATGGGATCTCTCTTAAGAAGTGGTGCTTTTTAAAAACTTAACGTAAGTGAAAAATTGTAAACTTTAAATTATTTACTTATATTAGTATTCTATAATCACTATAATCATAGATGATTATAGCAAGCACATTCGAGGAACTGCAAATTATGTTGGGGGAACTAGCAGCCAGAATCCGAATACGTCGGCCTAAAAATGAATATGAAAAAAACAAAAATAATGACAAACACAGAAGACCCCAGACATATAACTATAAACGGCAGTGAGATAGAACAAATCCAGGAATATATCTACCTAGGCCAAATCCTGAGACTTGACAAAGAGAACCAAAGTGCGGAAATTACTAGAAGAGCAAGACTAGCATGGGCAGGATTTGGAAAACTTAGTTGGATACTTAAGAACCGCAAAATACCCCAATACTTGAGGAGCAAAGTGTTCAACCAATGCATCCTTCCTATCATGACATATGGATGTCAAACCTGGACCCTAACCAAGGCAAACATGAATAAACTAGCCACAACAGAAAGAACAATGGAAAGAGCAATGTTAGGTATACGACTGTCAGATAAAAAGAGGAACGACTGGGTAAGATCCAAAACAAAAGTCGAGGACATAACAATAAAAATTGCAAAACTTAAATGGAGCTTCGCGGGCCACACTGCTAGACAGAAAGACCAACGTTGGAATACTACAATACAACATTGGAGACCTTACGAAAGTAAACGACCAAGAGGAAGACCACAGATGAGATGGGTTGATGACATTAGAAGAATAGCCGGAACAAATTGGAAATATGTTGCTCAGGATAGAGACCGATGGAAGGAGTTGGGAGAGGCCTATGTCCAAACATGGACGACAGAAGGCTAAGAAGAAGAAGAAGAAGAAGATTAGTATTCTATTGTAGCATATCTCTGAGGATGACTTTGATTTATTTTGATTCTGTTGTATTATATCGTAATATTTGCATTTCCCACGTCTTTTATATGTTTTATTCATGTTTTTAGAGCAGGCATAATTCGTACATTTTATTTGCAGTTTTATTGTGCTTTCAATGTTTCTTCAGGTATATATGCGTAATCTTTTTGCCTTCTTTTTTGTCATTTCAATCTGTAAGTGGTAAAATCTCTGAGGTTTAATGACTTTTGAATCGGTGTCTCTTTAAACAGTTGGTAAAGATCATGGTTGTACCTGGATCTCCATACTCCACTTTCGTTAATAGGTCCAAACATCTTCATTAAGATTTGTCTTTCAAAGACTTCCAGCTTTCTTTTTGTGTTTTATGTCATTACCCACGTCTCACATTCATAACATACTATTGGTCTGATAATAGTTTTGGATTTCTATTCCATTCCGTGTATTCCATCCGTATTCTGTTCCATCCGTGCTTAATGCAACTCTCAAATGTGTGAAATTTTTACAGTTTCAATATCGTCCTCTAATTTAACTGTGCATCTGTTTCCCTTAAGTTTTGTCTATGTTAGCTTTTTTGTCTTTTGAATATTTATTTCTAGTCTGGTCTCTTTTGCCCCTGTTTTTAAATGTGAATATATTTCTATTATCACCTCATCCGTTATGCGACACATTAGGCTGGTGTCATAGCCTTAGGAGGCAATCTGTAATGATTTATTTGTTAGGGGATTAGTTGTTTCTATATTTAGCAAACGAGGATCGGAAGAAAGGAATTAAAAACATAAGGGAATGGACAAAACTCGATGCCCATGCACTTTTTAGAGCCACACAAGATCGAGAGGAGTATGCCAGAATTGTCGCCAACATCCACTAATTGGATAGGGCACCATAAGAAGAAGAATATTTAGCAGTCTTATCACGTATTCGTGAGTCTTTTTACTTCTTCTAAGTGGACCGGTAATTGTTACTAACAAATAAATTATATAAAAAAAATTCACCGAATCGTTTCCGAATAAATTTTTTAGGCGTAACTTATCTAAATAAACACTTTTTTCTCCTGTTTTTTTTTTAAATACTTGCTTTGAGTGCCAATATAAATGATTCAGATAAAATTAAATTATTAGAAAATTTTTAGTAACTAAAAACAAAAAGCTATAGGGGGATGAGACGGTCATCCCCCGCACCGATCATCAGCGCTTTCGATAAAGCGTATAAAACATGGCTTCTTACAAATTTTTAATTTCCCAAAGGCCACAGAACCTCATAAATCTAAAAAAGAAGCTTTTTTCGACTTTTTGTTTTGGGCGCAATTTTACTTTAAAAAATCTGAAAAAATTAATGAAGGTGTATCTTCCGGATACAAAATAGCCGGATTTTTTAAAAATATTTATATTGAAAATTGAGCCTGGAAAAAATCATTGAAATTTTCAATAATTTCTTAGGTTATGTTAATAATTTTTGGCTAACTTTTAAATAGTAATTTTTTATGTATTTTTTTTCGTTCTTTTGAATGGCCAAGGCAGAATTTTCAATTTCTGAGCGAAAGCATCGAAAAATAAAAAAAAACGTTTTTTTACTTATCTGCACATAACCTCAAAACTCAGTTGGTAATTGAACATTTTTCAACATGGTTTTTTCCACCTTACCTCAAAATCAGATAGTTAGATGTATGCTTTTCCATCTATTCTCTTACGGGCTATGAATCATCATTGTTAAAATATTCATTTTTTACTTACAAATTCTCAAATTACGAAAAAATCGTGTTTTTCTAATATTTTCCCACCTTATTGGCTATTGGAAAAAAAACAGGCTATTTTGTATTCGAAAGATACACCTTTATTAATTTTTTTGAGATTTTTTAAAGTAATATTGCGTCCAGAAAAAAAAGTCGAAAAAAGCTTCTTATTTAGATTTAAGAGGTTCTATGGCCTCTGGGAAGCTAAAAATTTGTATGAAGTCATGTTTTTGTACGCTTTATTGAAAGCACAAGTCGCGGTGCTGATCGGTGCTAGGGCACTTTTGACCATCTTATCTCGCTATACCTAGCCTTTGTTTAATTTATTAATGTTTTTATTTTGAGAAAGATTTCCGAAGTGGAAATTGAAATGTCAATAAACTTTGTTTTATTACAGTGAAACATATTAATCAATATATATTTTACGTTTCAATAACAAATATAATAAAACAAAAATATAATATTAATTATACATCGTTTTCATTGTCAATAATTTAGAAATTTTTCTCAAAATCGCAGAATTCCCATCTTAACAGTTGATTTCATTTTATCCGACAGTTAACAATTCACAGCATAAAAATTATTTTTTGTAGGATAAAATTTTCTTTGAAACCTATTCTTACTTGCGAAGGCAACGAAAATGATTTGAAATCTCTTAAAAACTTTACCTATATAACTGCTACACGATATTGTTATAACATCCACCCAAAACCAACTTAAAAAAGTCTGTATCGTTGGCGCTAATGTATTACATTATTAATTTAAAAAGTAAAAGAAATTCGAGCGCCTGTAGCTCCACAACTGCTGTACCCGCTTAGCGGTAGACTACTCGAAAGACATTCGAAATATTTGGGTCCATGTTTTCAGCAAGATAAAAACCATTTATTCCTGTCAAAATATTCTTACTTGTACTCAAAGGATTAAAGATTATAAAGCTTTTTGTAGAATTGTAGAATTTGTAGAAGCAGAACTTCTAAAAAACGGAACACCAAAACTAATAAGCTATCTTAAAGTGCTATTCACAAGATACTTAAATGGGGAAGTGTATCTCTGTCACCAGTACCTTTAGCAGGCTGTTTGGTAAAATCTTAAAAAACATGATCGAGAAAGAATACAAACCTCATGAAACTGAACAGCAAGCAGGATTTAGAGCTGGAAGATCTTGCGTAGACCACATATTTACCCTAACACAACTCAATGAAAAGAAAGTTGCAAGAAAACCAGGAAATACATCTTTTATTTGTGGATCTCACAAAAGCCTATGACACGATTCCTGTGAGAAATCTGTGGCAGTCTCTTGAAGGATCTCCATTAAATAGCACGATCATCGCTGCAGTCAAACAATTATACAATAAAGCATCATCAAAAATCAAACTAAACAACACCTTATCAGAAGAATTTCCAGTAACAAAAGGCTTACGACAAGGATGCTGCCTCTCTCCAATACTATTTAAGATCTATTTAAATGAAGCACTAAAACACTGGAGAAGATCCTGTTCAGGAATGGGATCCAACTTGACGACGATACAACATTATACACTCTACATTTTGCGGACGACCAAGTAGTAGTGGCAGCAGACAAGGAAGATTTAGAATTCATGACGAGACGGTTGTTTAAAACATATGAAGAATGGGGCCTCTCTGTAAATAGAAACAAAACGCAATACTTATGCATCGGGAATGAAGTAGAAGATCTAATGGTCAACGAACATGAAACAATCAAGAACTGTGAGGAATATATATATTTGGGAACAACAATCAACAAGAGTGGGCGCACCGAAAAAGAGATAGAGCAAAGAATCGTGAAAGGAAAAAGGGTGATAGGATGCCTAAACCCGATGCTATGGTCAAAAGAACTATCAAATCAAAGAAAGCATCTCCTCTTTAACTCCATCTTTAAAAGTATAGTGCTCTATGGATGCGAAACATGGCAACTTACTAAATCCCTTGAGCGACGCCTACTTGCATTGGAAATGGACTTCTGGAGAAGATCAGCTAGAAAATCAAGGCTTGATAGAATACAAAATGACCATATCAGAAATATAATGGGAGTCAAGTCAACCATCATTGACGAAATTCAAAGGAGACAACTGATCTGGTATGGTCATGTGAAAAGAATGGACGACGACAGGCTGCCAAACCAAATTTTAAAATGGACGCCAAGGGAAAGAAGGAAGAGAGGAAGGCCAAAACAATCCTGGCTGGGCGGCATTCAGAAGGCAATGTCGGAAAGAAACCTTCACCCTGGCGAATGGAATGACCGACGTAGCTGGAAACTGGGAACCGGAAGGCGGAGAACGCTATAAAAAACCGGGATAATTATTACAAAAAAAAGTGTTTATTTCGATGGGATACGTCTAAAAAATTTTTATGATATTATTTGATATTAATAGACTTTGGTTCTTTTTACTTGCATATATTGCATAAAAAATGCAGATGTCAAATTTTTAATATTTTTATAAAAGTTAGTATAAAGTGTATATAATCTGAAAGTGTATATAATTTGGTGTTAACTATATATTTTTATATTCAAACTTAGAGTGCGCGCAAGCACTCTTGACCACGGCGCAGTAGATGAAATTTGGTTTAGTCACCACTTCCGTGTGAAACGCATTGTACTATGCACTGTATAATTCCATTTACAATAGAACCTTTCTGCCTTTACGTGAATTTGACTCCGCCTTCGCGCAGCTCCATGGTCCAGAGTGCTTGAGCGCACTATACAGATAGCATGAAAATGCCAATATTTAATTTTGTTTTATAATCACTTGGTATTCAAATTCTTAGTATAGTAACTAATAAAAGACAGCGACTTATAGTTTTGTCCTGGAATTAAGGGTTTCTGTAAACCAGTTTATGTCTCTAGGTAAAAATTTTTATTTTGACGGTCAGTTTCACTTGGTTTCACTTTTGTTGTAAAATTGGAGGCGTAAACAACGTGTATTTCTAATTGTGAATAATTATTGTACTTTGAAAATGCCGAAAATAAGCAATGTTTCAACTTGGATAAAACCTTACAACGAGCTATCTATGGATATGGATAAAGTTTATTGCTCATGTTGTGGCAAAACCGTAATTACATAAGTATTATTATTATTATTTTTTGAAAATTTACACGGTGGTACAAATAAAGATTTTAAAATTGGAGATTATGTTTAAGAAAAGTACCGACACAAGGCTAGTTCGCAATAGGATACCTAAAATTTCAAATAGATCAGCATGTCAGAACCGCGAAACATTTAGCTAAAAAAGTAAAAACCACATCCGGTGAAAAATATCAACCTTCAGTGTCCAAGTGCGTTCAGTCAAGTTCCAAAAAACAAACCGAACAAGAAACTTTTAACGAAGACTTGTGTCGTGCATTAGTATCTTCTAATATACCGCTTTCAAAATTATCTAATAAAAAGTTATTTTTTAAAAAATATTGCAAACAAAACATTCCTAGTGAACAAACTCTAAAGAGAAATAATGTCAATTTGTTATACTCCTCAGTTATCCACAACATAAAAGCCGAAATAGGTAATAATTACTTTTACATATGTGTGGACGAGACCACTGACTCGTCAGGAAGATACATTGTGCACTTATTGATTGGTGTACTTAGCGATGAAACCTTTCCAAAATCGTATTTAATTTCCTGTAAGCAAGTGGAAAAAACCAACGCTCTAACAATATCTTGTTTCTACAAGAAGCATTAGCAAACTTTTTTCTTCCTGCTGCTGTGCCTAATGATAAATTATTGCTTATTTTATCTGATGCCGCACCATATATGGTGAAAGCAGGACAAAATTTAAAAATATTTTATCCAAACTTAATATATGTCACTTGTTTAGCGCATGGAATAAACAGAGTTGCAGAGGAAGTAAGAAAAAAATTTCACTAGTTAAAAGTTTAATAGCGAGCGTCAAAAAGGTATTCCTGAAATCACCTGTAAGAATACAATGTTACAGGATATGCTTCCTGCTGTTCCACTGCCACCGCAACTCATTTTGTTGATTAAAAAAATCCTCCAACAGCAACTGTCATTCATAAAATCAAATTATAGTTTTCTCCAGAAAACTATAACTCAATTAGAATCCTCCAAATTATCATTGTTAGAGAGTACAGTTTTATTAAAAGAATTTGAGTCATTGTGTCAAAACGTTAAAGGTACTATTGGAAAGGAAATTTTTCAAAAATTTAAAGTAACCATGGAAAAAATAGTGGTTACCAGGTTCTTTCTGAAGTGGTTCAAATACTAGCTGGGATATTTTCCGAACCACTTAATTTAGAACCATCTATTATTGTAAATTTGAAAAATGCCCCAGTTACATCAGTTGATGTCGAAAGAAGTTTTTCTATTTACAAATATATGTATTCAGATAGAAGCCATAAGTTTTTATTAGAAAATTTTGAACATCATTTGATCTATTGTTACCACACTTCAAAATAATATTTATATGTTAAAATAATTGTATATGCTATGTTTTTATAATATTGTAAGTATTTTTTATTACATGCATATTTTCTAGATAAATATGCATATTTTGCATAAAATACTGCATATTTATGCGCATATTTCAAACTTTTTTATTTGCATATTTGCGTAAGTCTAGTTATTAACAATTACCGGTCTACTTGGAAAAATAAAAAAAAATACATTGGAACTTTGAAAAATATACAGAATAGAATAAAAAAGGTTAGGTGCATTGGAAATGCAAAAAAATGGTCAGTTAATGCCCTGCTTATTATATTTAAATGTTACTGGATTTATTTGACATTTTTTATAAATTTTTTATTAAATATGTTTTAGGATATGTTTGGTTACGCTTTAAGACATCCCAAACTGCCAGCCAGTAATGGAATTGTTAACAAAGCTGGTTTAACACCATTGACACTTGCTTGCAAATTGGGTAAGAAAAGTCAATCATTGCATATTTTGTACCTATAGTAAAATGAAAAATAAGTCATAGTTTTTTATTTATATAATATGGCAAGAATAAGGTATCGTGGTCCGGATGGCAGATTTTCATTTTTTTCTGTTTTGTGTCAAAAATAGTTTCCATTTTTTAAAAGTAATTAATCCGTGACATGTTAAGGAGGTTATTTACCTGACCAGAATACTGCGAACGAACCAAACGAACTGAACTGGCATTTTTCTATAAGAATGTTTCTGCAAGTATCTGTTGCTTATAAGAAAGAATATAAGGAATACAAAAAAATTAGCTGAACATGTTTTCGATACCTATAGGAATACAACGAATACTGCGAGCACTCCAAACCTGCGAGCGTTTTTACAAAAAACATTCGATCATTGGCTCCACAGTATTTTGCTCAAACTCCGAAGGCACCATAAAATGTAAAATATACTCATAGCTACTGTCTCTTCTGAAGAAGAGCTAAGTGTAGTCTTCACATGTGCCACTTCTGGAGGAGAGGCTGAATGTCTTCTCACATGGAGCTAATTGCAGGTATCATATGCATAAAGGTTTCAATGTAGATGTTGGTCCAGTGTGGTAGCAGCTAAGATTAAACTCTTGCTACATCAGTTGCATTAGCTTGCTACAGTTATGGTAAATACCACGTGGCGTCAGTTGGGTGTCCCACCAAAAAGGGAAACACAACAAACCCCAATATATAAAAAATCTACAACAAGAACTCTTGTATTAGCAGACATCTCATCTTTGTGATAAGATATTAAGGTATTAGAATTTATAAATAATCTTATCCTAAATAATATTATTCTAATTAAAATTGTTTAGAATCGGAAAGCTGGAGCGAACATAATTAATAACGGAGTGTGTTAATTGCAAAATATCTGAGCTGAATTCCTAAATTCAGCATTGCACGATCAGCAATATTGATGGTTATTTTGAACGAAATAGCGAGAATCAAAGTATCACAGCTCGATGTTATATAATCGTTAACAGACCAGCAGTCGGAAATATTGATCCAGTCATAGCCAGCATACTTTATATTTTATATCATATCTTGCCTTGCCATGAAGTTCTACAAAATTCATAATTATTAAAAAAAATTAGCAATGGCAAAGGACAATCTAATTAATATATTTTATACAAATATGTATGCATGAATTTAATTATTAAAACAAATTATTAAAGTTAAAAATTGAAATAAATATTCTATCTTCATATCTTTAAAAAAAAAATTAAAAAACAGAAAAGCACCTGTCCTGCTATGAATAATACCGGAGTAGTACCAGAGCAATGGAAGGAAAGTCTCCTGCTACCGATACTTAAATAGGGAGACTCGAGAAATCCTGAAAATTATAGAGGCATTAGCCTGATGAATAGTACATTAAAATTGTTAACGGCAGTCATAAAAGATAAAATCGAGGAAAAAGCGAACATGGCAGATGAACAACAAGGCTTCTAGAAGAACCGCAGCACAATAGACGCAATTTTTATTATCAGACAAATAATAGAGAAGTCTATTGAATATGACCAGCATACATGTGCTTTGTAGATTTAAAAAGTGCTTTTGACAGGGTGAAGCGAAATGACATCTTAAATTTATTACAAGCTGAACAAATAGACCATCAGATAATAAGGACAATTAATGAAATTAACAAGAACAACAAGACCACAGTTATAATGCCAACAGAAGAAACAGAATGCATAGAACTAAAAGGAGGAATCCGCCAAGGAGACTCGCTCAGCCCATTGTTATTCAATATGGTGATGAATCAAATAATTCACGAAGTAAGAAAACGACACGGATACCACATGGGAGCGCATAAAATCACGATACTATGCTATGCCGATGATGCAGTACTAATTGCTGATAACGAAGATGACCTACAAAGGCAGCTCCACACCTTCAATATCACAGCAAACAAACTTAATATGAGAATATCAGTAGAAAAAAACTAAATGTATAGTGATCAGTAAAGAGCCGCGTAGATGCAAACTAGAAATAGACGGCAAAATTGTAGAACAAGTAATGAAATTCAATTACCTAGGAGTAGAGATCACTAGTGACAGGGATATAAGAACAGAGACCACAAGGCAAGCATCAAAAGCGGCAAGAGTAAGTGGTTGCCTCCGAGAAACCATATGGAGAAACAAATATCTGACCACGGAAAGCAAAATGAAAGTATACAAGACAACAGTAAGACCAATCCTAACATATGCAGCGGAGACAAGGACCGATACAAGAAAGACGAAACAACAAATCAACAATATCGAAATGAAAGTATTAAGATCAATAGCGGGCATATCATTAAGAGACAGACAAACCAACAGAAGTATACGCGAACAATGCAAAATTCAAAATATTAACAGGTGGATAAAAACAAGAAAAAAAACTGGAACGAACATGTAAACCGAATGGGACCAGATAGGTTAGCGAACATCTGTAAAAACAACAAGCCGTATAGCAGAAGACCCGTTGGAAGGCCGCCAAAAAGGTGGAAAGATAATGTACAGTCAACAACGACTGAAACAGAATAAGAGGCAGACAAACAGGAGTAATCCTAGTCGCACGAAGAAGAAGATAACCTTTAAAAGGTTTAAATGAAACACGGCTTATAGAAGTTAGATATATGTTATGATTAAAATGGTTAAAAGACATAACATATTAAGACTCAATATACATAACATATTGAAGACTCAACTCAAACTCAATTATTAGCTTACTCCAAGAAGTAGTGCTTAATATTATCGATTAAACAATGGATTTTATTGCCTCGTTTAGAGAACGCTAATTTCTCAAATATTATTATTGAATGTGTAGACTAAATTTATTTGTTTGACACATTCTATTGCTTAGCTGTAAAAATTATTTGTTTAATCATATTTTTAATAAGGCTTGAAGCTTGGAGCTTGATTCTCGTAATTCATTTGTAAGAGCAAGAACAGAGCAGAGAGAGGGTAATCGGTAAAAATCAAACCAGAGGTTCTAACGCTTCAAGTCATTACAAATCAGGTTAGTGTCAATAAAACGTCATTTGTGGTTTACTTACATCCAGAACGTCATTTCGTTCCTGTATAATCAGAACTTCAATTGGTTTCTGATCAAAGATTCTGCACACGTAGATCGAACAAATAAAATTGGTTTATGGACTAAAACTTTTACTTTAAATACAAAAGAATATTAGTTAGAAAAGTTGAGCGGCAACTATTACTTAGACTTCGATTTCCAACTTTAAAAGAAAAATAGTAACACAAAACAGAAAGTTAACAAATGAATAAAATCAAAACAATTGGAGAAAATTGGATTTAAAGAAATATAACATAACAATGAGTATACTGTTACGAACATGCATTCGACGTGGCCCGTATAACGGTTGCATCGCGAGATGACGAGAGACTTCCAGATGATTCGAGCGCGAGGAGAGAATATACCCGTCAAGCAGGCGAGTTAGAGGTGGGCTGCTACAGAGTGTTCTAGTACATGATAACTTGTATATATAAGCAAACCTTCTATGAGTTAAGTTTAGTTGAAAAGATATTTTCGTCGTGTAAACTTATAAATAAATATATTTATATAAATTAAGAACCGCTCGTTTTATTTAAATACGCTACAATATGTTATCTTCGACATCCTCTGTGGATATAATCCTTTTTGGATATCCATCCGAGTCAATAAAAAATCCACAAAGTTCCTAACTTGAGTATTGATATATGTTTTTTTTTAATTGTGTTAGTAAGTGATAAATGTATGATCTTTAATGATATTTTCAGGTCGTGCAGAAGTATTTAGAGAAATGTTGGAACTATCCGCTAAAGAGTTTTGGCGGTACAGTAACATTACATGTTCGGCATACACCCTAAATGCTTTAGACACATTATTACCTGATGGAAGTACAAGTAAGCAAGCATGAACCATAATAAGGAACAATTGTTAGGTTTAATTCTTACATTTTTGTATACAAATCTCCAAACTTAAAAAGTCTCTTTATATCTCTAGGGTATAGCTTGACATTTTAATATTAATTTATCAGCATTTACATCTAGATATCAAATGTTAAAAAATATTATCTTTTTCAACATTTTTTTTTTAATTCTGTCTTGTTATGTAGTTTCTAGTATTCTTATCGACTTGATTTATTGGGACCGTGCAAGTTCGGAACAGCGACACCTGGTGTCGTAAATCAGCAAAATTTACTGCGCTTTCATGTTAGATCGAGGTTACCGAATAACTGTCAAGGACGTGGCCCCAAAAAAGAATAAGAAGAAAAAGTAAGATTGAGGTTATGTCGGTATGTTATTAAAGGTAAACGTTGATGTAGCGTAAATACAAATAAATATATTATTGAATTACAGCATTACTGTTAATATGGATTCAATAATAAAAACTGGATTTGAGAAAGTAAATCACCAAATAACTTTTCAACCAAGCACTGAGTCAAAGAGAAAAGCTTTAGTAGTGGCAAATGTCAAAAAAGAATGGAAGAATTAAGAAAAATAAATTACCATAAATAATGCTAATGCATAAATTAGCAGGTTAAGCCCATGATATCATCATATTGGTTTGAACAATTAATTCTTTCCCTGTAAACTTTTGGACAGCGAATATATCTTAATGCATCTTCAGAAAAACTTGAACTTGATGCATTCTTGTAAACTTCAAAAAAATAAAATTTAAACATTAAACTTGATTTTTGGGTTAAAATGAACTCTAAGTGAGTGTTATGAAACTAAAATTTACACTTAAAAGTGAACTTTTATTTATTATTTATTTCAAACTGACTTTAAAATCGGGCGCAAGAATAATGCATAATTTAGGTTATGTTACTTATGCTTTTTTATGATATAAATCCACTTTTCTCTTTGTAGTAGCTTTGTGCTTCGAAGTTGGAAACGAATAAAACTTAAATTGACAATTTTTTGTTGTATTTTTACAATTTATAACACAGCATTTCCTAAATCCCATTTTCTTCAGTGACAGAAGGTGTAAATAAACAAACGAATATGAAATATGACAATTGACAATATGAATTTATGAAATCTATGAAATGTGCAGTAAAAAATGCAAGATTTCTCCGCTACTCGCGCACGATCGTTTCTCGTATCCCCTCCAAGTACTTGCACGTCGCCAATACTATTATATGTATTTACCTGTTGTGTTTATTTACATTTACTGGCTGTTCTAATTTTTAATTTTTAGATTGGAATTCTGCTCTATTTATAATTTTAAACGGAACCAAAGAAGAACATTTAGACATGCTAGATGGAGGTATTATTCAAAGGCTACTCGAAGAGAAATGGAAAACTTTTGCAAGGGTAAATGTATTATTAAACTATTATGTTTTAAGTTTGCTGTTAAGTTGTGCTGTTAAGGCATTAATCAAACACTTCTTTATATCTCGATAATTTACAAAAACAATATAAAATAGTGGAAGCGGAAATGGCAGAAAGATATCTTGTTGTCTCAATTAGTAATGAAAGTGATATTCTACCAGCTATTTCCGACCATTTCGCACAGTTGCTAAAATGGGACCAGTTGCCGAAGCTAGTATTGGTGCGGGATAAGGTGAAACCAAGTAGAAGTAGATCATTCAGCCATGTTTCTTAGGAAAAGTCAAAGGTTAGGTTAGGTTCAATATGGGTGAGTTAACCACTCTTTCACTCGACAAGAGGTCTATTGTGGCTCATCTCTAAGTTAAAGTTAACCTTTCAGCCCAGCCTTTTTGACTACAAACTCGTAGAGTTCGTGTAATTAGTGCTCAAATGCATTAAGCCTTATCCAAACCAACCCTGGGCAGTTAGACAGAAAATGTTTCCGCCGTCTCATCTTTAGCCTGGCAAAATCTTCAATTATTCATGCGCCCATTGAAACGACACTGTCCTATTACCGATACATACGATATTAAAAATCATTTGTTTATACAAGTTGTTACGTGTCATCCTCTCCATCCAGTCCGAAATCTTTTTTGCCTGTGCTTTTAGCTATGCCAACAAAAGATTCTGGGCTATGAAAGTTTCGTTGTTGTCTACTTTTTAATAAAATAAGTAGAGGTTCTTCAGATCACTGGTGAAATCACATGGAATTCGTCTTCTCCGCATTTCGGATCTTATAACAGCGTCCAGCACTAACAAGAATAAAGTTCTTTTGTAATATAGTTTCGATAGAATCTTTAACCCTGCTCAGTATAATCCAGGCAAGAATTTTGCTGGACTTTTGCTGGTTATTACAGTTTGTAATATTTCCCTTCTTTGGAAGTTTGACAAAAATAGCTTGTTTCTATTCTTCGAATGAGCTTTCTTCCTGCCAACTCAGTTAAATTAGCGGGTGAAGTAACCACACTGTGGTATGTGGTATTGTGGAATATTATCGAGACCAGACGCTCTTACATTCTTCATACAGTTGAAACCCAGGCTTATTTCTTCTTCACACGGGATCTCCAAAGTAATTTCCTGATCTGAAAGGGTATCTGTATTTCTTGATGACTTCCATTTTTTCCCATTATTCTCTCGGTTTAAAAGTTCTCGAATTTTCTCCTTCTACCTGTTTGGCTGTTGTTCCTGAGTTGTTAAAAAAAGCACTCTCACTGATTCGTTAATCTCGATAACTATTTTAAAGCTACTGAACTTTGTTTTAACTTTTCCTAAATCTAAACTCAGAAAGTCGACGATTCTCGGCGGAAAAAAACATGATTACTCTCGTTTTGGGTGTCGGCACTTTTTTTTTCTTCAGTCTTAAATACTAAAGAACAAAAAAAATTGGTCCCAAGAGTGTACCCTCAAATTTCAAAATCAATATTTTTGGCATCGAAAAAGATAATATTTTCTGAGGAATTCGACATATTTGCGTGAAACTTTTTGTGAGATACTTACAGAGATATATAGAAGTGTATATTTTAAATTAAATTATACTGATTATCATCAACGCTTTATGTTTCAGAACCAATTTTTAAAAAGGCTTCTTATTTTAGTAGTACATTTAATTTTCTTATCGTTGGCTGCGTACTTGAGACCTGATGATCCAGATGTACCTTTATTAGAGTGGTCCGATGATCCCACTACTATTGCGAGGTAACTAATTGCATTTCAAAATATTTTTTGTTAACTCTGATACTCCCATGTGTCTGAAAAGGAAAGTTTTCAATCAATGTGTACTTCCTGTTCTACTATGGTGCTGAAACACTCACTATGACGAAAAAGAATATACAAAAATACATATAATGCAGAGAATGATGGAAAGATCAACGCAGGGAAAACATCAAAAGGATCGAGTTCCAAACCAAGTAATCAAGAAGAGAAGGGAATGTGAGACGATGTTGAGGCATCTAAAATGGAATTGAGCCAGATATATTGGTAGAATAACGGATGAACGGTGGACAAGAAATAGACATGAAACATGAAGTAAAAGAGACATGAAACTTACAGAAGTAGAGGCACATCACCAAGCAGATGGACCGACGACATAAAGAAATTTTCTGGAAACTGGATAAAAAGAACACAAGATAGAAAGAAAACTTAGGTATACCTACGATAAGCACATGTCAATTAAATTAACAAGGGATTAAAACTATTATATAAAATGTTGTTAAAGTTAAGATAATTTGAAAAACCTTTAACCTTTGTTTGGGTATTTCCTAATTCTTTAGTACCTAAAATACAACATATTCAGAAATAATGTAGATGCGAATGAAGCAACTTTAGTTGTCTAATTAACTCTACCTAAAGAAAAGCGATCAGTGAGTGCTGTATTAACTCAATTTGTATAGGATTTTTCAGATTTTAGTATGACGCAAAAGAAATATTTTGTAAATATTGTGAAATTACTGCGTGTGTCCGCAGAAACTTCAAGGTGATATAGTATTTAGCAACTGTAAAGTATAAATATTTAAAAAATAAAAAATCTCGCCAAACACAACAAATTTTAATAATTAGTACATCGTTTTCATCAGGACAAAAGCGTTTAATATTTTTAATAAAGATTTGTAAAAACCTTTTATTGGTGCTGACATTCCGCTGAACATTTTAAGTAATCCAATGGTAAAAAGTTTTTTTAGAAAAGTTTACAGTGTAAATATGTTAATATTTCACTATCTGTTAATGGTATTTATTATGTACAATTTCTTATACTAAGTATAATAACATTATGGTTCTTCTTCTTAGTCGTTAACCTGATGCAGGTATCGTGATATCATGAAGCTATTAGCTAAATTTCCCAATGTTCCTCCACGTTTTTCTATCTTCTGCCATTCTAGCACATTCTGACAATGGAGCGCCAATGGTAGCAACAATATGGTCCGTGTATCGTGTGGGAGATCTACCTCTATTTCTTTTGCCTTCTACTTTTCCCTGGATGGTAAGTTTTCAAGACCATTTCTTCGAAGCACATGTCCAAATGCTTATTATTTGTTCTGATATTTGTGTTCTTAGTCTTTTCTTTATGTTTAGCTGGTCCAGTATGGATTCATTTGTTCTTCGGGCCACCCATGGTATTCTCAGCATTCGTCTCCAGCAGTACATCTCAAATACATCTATGTTCTTTTTGTCTTTCTCAGTAAGGGTCCAGCATTCCGATGCATAAGTAAAAACTGGAAAAACTAGACTTCTTACTAGTCTCATTTTTGTATCGGTAGTTATTTCATGGCTTTTCCAAATTTTTGTTAATTTTGCCATAGCGCTTTTTGCGATTGCTGACCGCCGCTTTATTTCTTCAGTACAGCCTCCTTTGTTGGTTATTAATGAGCCCAGATACACAAATTTATCTACAACAGCGATATTGTTTATCATGACCAGATGATTTTGATTGTTGTTAGCTCTGTCAATTATCATGATTCTCGTTTTATCTCTGTTTATTTTAAGGCCCATCGTTAAGCTTACGTCTTCTATCCGTTGTAGCAGGTGAATCAATTCAGCTTCAGAACTAGCGAGGATAGTAGTATCATCTGCATATCTCAAGTTGCAAATCTTCTTTCCGCCAATGGTGATGCCACCGTTCCAGTCCTCAGTAGCTTTCCGCATTATCCATTCACCATAGATGTTAAATAGAATTGGGCTTAGTATGCAGCCTTGTCTCACGCCCTTTGTGACCCTGAAACTATCGGTTAGTTCCCCATTTATTCTAACTCTGGCATAATTGTTATTGTACAGGCTTTTAATTAGCAGTATCAGATGATTGGGGACTCCCATTTCAGACAAAACCTGCCACATTTTACTCCAGTTGACCAAATCGAAAGCTTTACTATAATCTATGAAGCACAAATATGTTGTGATGTTGAATTCTCTGGATTTTTCTACAATCTGCCGTACGTTTAAAATTTGTTCTCTAGTACCACGTCCGGGGACGAAACCTGCTTGTTCCTCCGCAATGTTAGGTAGTAAAAAGGGCTTTATCCTCTCGAGAATTATGTGTAAGAGTATCTTACTGCAATGCGCAATTAGAGCAATTGTGCGATAGTTGCTACATAAATCTTTCGCTCCCTTTTTATGTATGGGAATATATAGTGATTGTGCCCAGTCCTCAGGCCATTTACCTGTCTCCCACACTCTTTGACAAATTTGATATATTATATCCATTGGAAAGTACATACATTGGAAAGTAATAACAATAGTAGATATTAGAAAGAAGTGAACAAGAAACAAGAACTAATACGGAAACTCATTATTTAGAAGTAAAAATCTCCAGGACAGAACACTGCAAAGTAATATATGTACTTGGGTGGAGAGATATGTTTCTTAAATGGCACATTATGGGAGGAAATAAAATTATCCAGGCTTTGGCCAAAATTTCCACGGAATAAACTAGTATGGTATCGACATGATTTAAAAAACTTGTTGGTTTGAAATTTGTAGATGACATCGTCCTTAAAGCCGATCGTATGTATTGTGCAATAATAATGTAAAAATTATATCACGATTCCCTGGAGGTCGGACTAAACATGAACACAATACAAATAATGACTAATTTGGTGCTAAATCGAAATATTGCTGTTGATGGAAGGACTTTTGTGCAGATTGCATGGTAAATATACTTAGGACATGAAATTCAAACAACAGACGCTATCGAAAACATCTCGCTTAACTTTAATTAATAAGAAGCACTACGGAGCAGAGGACGTCCACCAACCAGATAAACTGACGACTTTAAGCGTGTTAGCCGTAAATGAACTGCACAAGATAGAGACATATTGAAAGAGCTGAGGGAGACCTACGTCCAGGTAGCCTGTATTAGTAACAAACAGGTTGTTGTCTATACAAAAGTGTAGCAAGCGTTCTCCTCTGTCATTTCTTTGGCCAAGTCCATATAATCCGACGGTCTCTCATAAGTAATGATCTTCTGTAGTTACACCAATTTTAGCGTTGAAATCGCCTACGACTGCTGTGATTTCTCTATTTGGAAGCTTCCTAAGCGTCTGCTCCAACGTACTATAAAATGTTTCGATCTCTTCATCGTGATCTTCGCTTGTTGGGGCATATGTTTGTACTACATTAAGATTAACTGGACTGGCATTCATTCTGACAACAATTATCCGATCGCTGACGGTTATGTATTCTTTTACGGAGGTTTTAATGGCATTATTTACTATCACTGCCACGCCATAATATCATTGCCATTTTTTGACGTATAATATCCTTTATCCTTCCAGTGGGTTTCAGATAGACCTACAATGGCATAATTGTGTATCTCGTTTTCCACTACATCCAATTTTCCGGGTTCCAGCAATCCTCGAACATTCCACGTACCAATTTTAAGGGTGCTCCATATTTTTATGTTTATTCCAGACTCAGAGTTTCCATGGCGTGCCTGGTTTCTCACGGCCGGTAGCCCATTTCACACCATCAGCCCCGGACGCTGATTGGCGCCAATTGCTAGTTGGATCGCTCGGCATACTGATATGTTTAGAGGTCATCTTTCATGATAGTTCTTGGGGCAAAGTAACGCAGTGGGGCCCCACTTCCTTCTGCGTGGTAGAAAATAGTTTAGAGTAAGGAAAGAGAATAATGACCCGTCCGCCCTCGAAAACCTAATAGCCAATCGGGGTCGGAAAAACAAGAGTTGGCCAAGAGAGGCCGATAGGAAAGATAAAAGACATTTTACTCAAGACTAGTTGAAGAAGAGTAAAATGTGAAGGTTCTCATGCAGCGCCAGATGCGCTTCATGAGAGTATGAGTATTAGTACACCTTGTGTTCCCGCTCATACATCGGGGTACTGACTACAGGCAGTATAGCTCGTCCAGCATGCTATAGCAAGAAGAAGAGAGTGTACACCATCTCATAATGTAGAAACTAATACACTCTATCTCCATAGCCTGGCCACAGAGCATGGAGATGGAGTGTACTAGTAACGTTATGGTATGTATTCTTATATACTCTGTTTTAGGTATGTTGCAGAAGTAGGAACAATACTAGGTGTTTTAAGTTATGTCATATTTCAACAAGGTGACGAAATCAGAAACCAAGGTCTTTGGACTTTTCTAAGACAACAAGTAAGAATTAACTTATATAATATAAATACATTTTTCTGTCTACAATTTACCTGTCTACTATGCGTTTCCCCTTTATAGTGTTTTGTGTAGTCTTTCTTCCAAGTTTCCATAACCACATCCATATCACTTACCTGTTTCATTTTCTATAGCATAGTTTCTGGGTTTAAATGTTTAGTTTTAAAAGGTTTTATGATTATTTAAATCTTTACTGGCAATTTTAAGTTGCCTACTTTGTTATATACTGTTCTGTACTGATTCATGGATTTACAATCATGACTACTGTTTCTTGCGGATTGAGGACATTTATTATTTATTAGCTGTATCTGATATTGCTCATTTAAAGTCCCTCCAGAAAGTCTTGTCATCTTCTTTGGTAGTATCGATTGTTCCACTTATCTCTGGGTTTATTCCCTCATTGAAAATTTCCAGTTCAGTCTCAATTAACATGGGAGGTCTAGGAGTAGGCTTATGTTTGTTTCTAAAATGCATTCGCAAAACGGCTACCAGAAATTAGTAGTTGCTTCGCAACTGACGACTTCCATCTCGAATTGATTATTATAAATTCTATTCAATTAGATTCCCCGTTCTGTTCCCTGGGGATTTCCTGAAGTGTAGTCTTCACGGGTGGTGTTGAAAGTAGGTGTTCATTATAGACAATCTTCTTTGGCCGCAGAACTCAATTAATTGTACCGTTCATTTCTTTCACTTAAGTTTAAGTTGCGTATCATTACGATGTTTTTGATTGATCTTTTGTTAAACATCTTTTCTAAAACTGTATAAAAATCTCCATACTTGTGGGTGTATACTTGTATGAAGTATAAGATTTAAGTTAAGTCCAGAAGTCTAAGATTAATGGCTCTATCAATAATTGCATGATATTTGCACATTTTTATTGCCAGAGAAATCTTTATATTTCCGGAAATGCTTCAGATATGTCCTTTCCCCCTCCAGTGGGGTTCGCTTATACCAAGAATGGAGGAAATACCACTAAATTAATATGATAGACTCTATATACCTTGTGTTTTGTAGATAACTAAGTTATGAAGATCTTTATTCTATGATAAGGAAGATTAAGTTTAAAACAATTAGGTAAGATTATGGTGACTTGAATTATATGACGACTGGTAAGTTTCTATCTGGGAAGAAAATCCGATTGGGGTTTAGAAGTAAATTTAGACAAGACTTAAGTACTTACATACATTGAAAGGCAATAACAATAGTAGATATTAGAAAGAAGTGAACAAGAAACAAGAACTAATACGGAAAATAATTATTTAAAGTAAAAATCTCCAGGACAGAACACTGCAAAGTAATATACTTGGGTGGAGAGATATGTTTCTTAAATGGCACATTATGGGAGAAAAAAAAATTATCCAGGCTTTGGCCAAAATTTCCAAGGAACAAACGAGTATGGTATCAACATGAATCAAAAAACTTGTTGGTTTGAAATTTGTAGATGACATCGTCCTTAAAGCCGATCATATGGATGGTGCAATAATAATGTAAAAATTATATCACGATTCCCTGGAGGTCGGACTAAAGATTAACATGAACACAAAACAAATAATGACTAATTTGGTGCTAAATCGAAATATTGCGTTTGATGGAAGGACTTTTGTGCAGATCGCATGGTAAATATACATAGGACATGAAATTCAAACAACAGACGCTATCGAAAACATCTCGCTTAAATTTAATTAATAAGAAGCACTACGGAGCAGAGGACGTCCACCAACCAGATGGACTGACGACCTCAAGCGTGTTAGCCGTAAATGAAGGCAAACTGCACAAGATAGAGACATATTGAAAGAGCTGAGGGAGACCTACGTCCAGGTAGCAGATTCAGGTCCAGGCTTACAGGTCGATAATATTATTATGGAATCAAACTAACACAAAAGATAGTATAAAAGAAGAATTAATAGTACTACAATCGAAAGTACTATAGTCTACGCAGTGAGTTACAGTCACTTAAATCAAAGGTATAGAACCAAGGAAACGGGCTTCTGGGAGAAATCGGTAGAAGTACAATAAGAATGGCCAATAAGGCGAAGTGATACGTTTAATTGTCTAGTTTTCGTCTTTTATATATAAAAAATGTTCATATTCCAGAAAATTGTGTGTAGTTACTTTTATTGTTTCAATTCTATGTAGATAAAAATTACTATTGTAGAAGTAACAACATAACTAACACAAAAATTTTTATTTTTAGTCAAATTCTCCACCAAAAACCATATTTTTAATATCGAATCTCCTTATACTATGCTGCATTCCATGTAGACTGTCAGAAGATAGAAATACAGAAGAAGCTATTTTACTATTCGCAGTACCTGGTTCCTGGTTTCTGTTGATGTTCTTTGCGGGGTACTTATAAATTTTACCCTAATTTTAAAATTATATTACATTCAACTTTTTTAGGGCCGTACGCTTAACTGGACCTTTTGTGACCATGATATATAGTATGATAACTGGTGACATGTTAACTTTTGGAATAATTTATACTATAGTTCTTTTTGGATTTTCCCAGTCTTTTTTCTTTTTGTACAAAGGATTTCCTGGAGTTAATTCTACCTTATATTATAGCTATCCTACTACCTGGATGGCGCTCTTTCAGATTACATTAGGAAATTATGATGTAATTATGTATATGACTGTACAAACCGAAGGAATTTTGCGTAAAAGTAAAGTTTTACATATTTTTTAATAACAATGTCAAAAACTTTGAGAAAAAATATTACGAAACTTGGGCAGTAGTGATAAACTAAATTAGTAGGTATATCTTATATGGGGAGTTTCTATTAAATCTTTTTTAAAGTTTCAAAACACATAGAAATATATATCGGGTGGTGAATCGTCAAACGGGCCATAGGAAACTCAATGGGAAATTTTAAATTGTTGAATTGCTGCTTCCCTAATTATTTTAGATCAAAAGTCTTAAAAAACTATTTGTAGAGGACTAAAATCTGAATTAAAAACAAATGTTAAAACCGTTCTTCGAATCAAATGTACTTCAAAATTTTGCAAAAATATAATACATTTTTCAGGCCACCCCTAAAAGTTAGACCACATGTAATGCAAGAATATATATTATGACGTGTGTGTTTTATCATATTGATGTCAGATGTTTGAAAATTTGAATTATCAATTTTTTTATTTTATGATTAAATTATAAATAATGAATTTTACTAAATACTACTACTACTGAACAATATTACTTTGTAAACAATAAATTATATTGTTTACAAATCGATCAATATAATGAAATGTACCTCAGTTGACGAAAAATCGCATAATGTTGTATTCAGGCAATAGCGCGAACCTTTTCCTGAGACTACCGAATCTTTATTTAACGTAAGATATTCTAATACACTAAAATTTAATTCCATGTTAAGTTATACAACAATTCAATGAATTCCAATATACTGTTACTGTGATCTTTATTCCTAATAATAATATATGATAATTTATAAACATAAAACTATAACAAATGTTATAATAAAACACGAATAAAACATTTTTATTATTGCTCTTTTCTCCTCAACTAAGTACATTTTTTAATCAACTTAATTTTTTTTAAACAATAAATCACAAAATTTTGGCCATTTAAATCATAGATAAACATAATATAGTTGATTTAAATATTGTCAAATATCAGAAACATGGATATGACAAAACGCAACACGTAATACACATTTTTTCACGGCGTCTAGCCTGACTTTTAGGGGTGACCTGAAAAATGTATTATATTTTAGCAAAATTTTGGAATACGTTTAAATCGTAGAACAATTTTAACAGTTGTTTTCGATACATATTTGAGTCCTCTACAAATAGTTTCCCATGACTTTTGGTGTAAAATAATTAGGGAAGCAGGAATTCAACAATTTAGAATTTCCCATTGAGTTTCCTATGGCCCGTTTGACGATTCACCACCCTGTAGACAAATTCTTAGAGATAAAGCATGACTACTTTTCCTAAAGAAACAAGAAACATTCATTAATCATCTTAAATTGTCAATTGACCTGCATGTATAAACTATATATACTATTGGACAAAAGTAGAGCAATATTTTAATAAAATGCAGAAATTTCGATTTTCGAATATAACATGTGTGATATACTAGTAAAAGTATAGAGAGCATTCCGGTTAAGTTAGTTACAAATGAAGGAAATTTGGCAGTGTTGCCATTTCGTTTTAATAAATCGCGAAAGAGCATACGATATAACATTAAATAATAAGAAACATAAAATGGTAAAATAACGAGAAAAATTATATATAAATCACAATAAATACTAAAGTTAGAAAAACAAGTTAAATTCTGCTGTACTGATTTTAATATATATTTTTTACTTTGATATTATCTTGCAATCTGGCAACTAGTGTTTTGAAGGTTTTGACACTATTGCCAAATTTATCCGCTCCCCATTTACAAAAAAAATCTACCAAATGGCAATTACAAAATATTTTTTTAATAACGAACTGTATGTAGACAGATGAAAAAACAGCGTGAAACAAGCAACACTAGGTTTATATGACATTAAATCATAAGGAAAGCATTCTTCAACTTCTGCTGGATTTAAATAAGTTAAACCAAACGTATGCCTTAACCATTTCCAATTTCTGAATTTGTATCCTTATATTCTTGTACCAAACCCAAAGATTGAATTTTTTTAAACCAGTTTTGGTGTAAGTGAAAACGGCATCCACTAATTTTTGCTTGGGCCACATATACAATAAAGCACAGTGAATTGCTTTTTCAAAGTCCACAAATATTTCAGTTGGCTCTAATGATAATTGAAATGTTTCAAAAATCTTAGACCTTAATAAAGAAAATAAATTTTTGTATGTCATTGACAATTTGTCCTTTAACAAACAGTATGCTAAAGGAACATAATGTCCATTTTCCAAGCCATGTATAGTAAATAATTGTAGAAAATATTTGGTACTGTATGAAAATGTACCATCCATATACAAAGTTTTTAATTTACGCAACAAACGAATATTTGTCTCGCATGAAAATACAATTACATTTAATTCAGGATGATTTAAAAACAAAAAACGTTCATTGCGACAGGTTTTAGGAGAATAATTACTAACCGCGTTATGGACTTCTGATATGCTTCTTGGTAACGGACCTGGTAACAGTTTACGACGACAGTTGTAAATGTTCTTTCTATCGTTATGCTAGCTATGTCAGGAACCGTCAGCAAATTGGCATCACTCTCAGCAATAGCAGTTCTTGTAATTTTGGCAGGCTTTTCCGATATGTCCTCTTGGGCTTTTCTTTTACATGCATTGGTTACCATCTTTACTTCAAGCTTTTTTGGATCGGCTTCATGATTATGTACCAAATCACTTCTTGTGATGGTGAGGTCCTCACAGCCTATTGTAAACACTTTTGCGGAACACTTAGTGTTTATTTAGTAAATTAATGTTTAATTAGTAAATTAAACAAATTTTGTTTTTTGTTACTTAGTGAAAAATGCTCTGACTCTGACTCATTTATATTGACAATTCAGACATACATTATACAGTAGACGACTTTAAAATGATATTGTCAATATTGTTGAGTTGCGCTCCTGGGACGACTTTACTTATAAGATAGTTCATTCTATTACATGAAATCAACTTCAACTTGAGAATATCCGTCAGAAAAAATCATATACTCGGTTCGCTATTCCTAGTTCGCTATTCGCTAACTGTCTAGTGAATTTAGTAATTATTTTTTTGCGTAGTTTAAACTACGTGTGTTTAACTAAAATATATGTTTTAAATATATACTACCCAAAATTTGATGGGTTTAGAATACGCTTTCACTATTTAGAATAAATCTTCTTTTTTTTAAGAAAGAAGTCTGCAATAGTAGTATACTTCAGCTAATAATACTGGGAAGTAGGAATTGTTGTGTTGTAGGTTTCCGACAATGAATCTGTCAAAATATGCCCGAGCTAAGCGAATGGAGTATAACATGTAATTCGTCTTTAAAAAGACAAACACATGCCGTGATGATAGTAAAATTCTCCTGTTAGTGATTCCATAGTAAATTATGAGGGAAAAACCAGGAAAAAAACACTTAATAATACTATCCCGATATGGTAAGTATTTGGTCGTGCATTTAGTTTACCTTCAATAAACACCAAATTCTGATTTTTATATGTTTGTTATTTAAAAAAACATAAATGATGTATCCTCCATATGTTACTGACTTACTAATACTGGTATTTTCTTTTTAATAACTTCTTTCAATGTAGGCAACCAGGTCCTACTACATTCTGCCGAGGAATTTGCGACACAATTGGTCTCATTTAGCAAATTTTTCTGACGGATATTCTCAAGTTAAAGTTGATTTCATGTAATCGAATGAACTATCTTATAAGTGAAATCGTTCCAGGAACGCAACTCAACAATATTGGCAATATCATTTTAAAGTCGTCTACTTTAAAATGTATAATATATCTCTGAATTGTCAATATAAATGAGTCAGATAAAATTAAATTATTAGAAGAATTTTTCACTAAGTAACAAAAAAAAAACAAAATTTGTTTAATTTACTAATGTTTGTATTTTGAGAACGATTTCCGAAGTGGAAATTGAAAACTCAATAAACATACTTTAACCTTTACTTGTGGCTTATTCCCATTTAAATAGTAATGACTTTAAAATGTAACAAGAAAATAGCGTAACAACAATATGAAGTATCAGTAGACTCATTATAAGTGAATGAAACCTTAACGGGAGTTTAATTTTGTGAAAAAAAGTGCATTGAGTATTGCATACCTAAAAGTTTAGCATTTAAAAAGAAATTATAAGATTCTATAATAAAATATTTCAAAATTTTGTAGAAAATGTTTAAGAAAATGCATATATATATATATTTTTTTTTTAATTTCAAATTACATGTCTCGGCTGCTGCGGCCATTAACACGAGGAACTGTATTAGAGAATAACAATAAAGTTACATTAATTCAATAAATTTCAATACAGATGATATCAAAAAAAAAAAATAAAGAAAAAACTAGCGGATGGTTACAAAATTGAAATATAGATAGATGATACAATTACAACAGGTGATATAATTTACAGTTTTTAAGGAACTCTATCACATTACACATATTGTTTTTAGATTTTAAAATGTCACATAAACTTCCGTGGATACCATGTTTGATCCGTGCTGCTGCGTACTGGTTACATTCCACAAGTATGTGGTGTACACTTAAACGGGAGTTGCAATATTGGCAGTTTGGAGGTTCTTCGGGAACCATCAGATATCCGTGGGTTAGCCGGGTGTGCCCAATTCTGAGCCTTCTAATGATGGTCTTCGATTTTCTTTCCATTGTAACAATTCTAGGGCCTAAAATGTTTGGTTGGATAGACTTTAGTTGGGTAGTGCACCTGTTCCATTGATTTTGCCACATTGAGGTAGATAACTTTTTAATTTCAATTATTATGTCTTGAAACATTTGGACTTTTTCATCTGTAAGGTCAGAGCGACGTGCTTCATTTGCTGCATGGTCAGCATTCTCATTTCCTTTAATACCAACATGTGAAGGATTCCATATCATCGAAACCGAAGTGTTTGATTTAGCAAGTGCTGTACATCTTTCGTGGATCTCATTAACTAAAGGATTTGATGTGTAGATTTTTCTAATTGAATTTATGGATGATAATGAATCTGTGCAGATTGCTAAGTTTTTGGTACCCTGCATTGGAACCTCTAGAGCTTTAAGTATAGCGTAAAGTTCTGCTGTGAATATACTGGTCATCTTGGGTAGTCTATACATTGCTAGTATGTTATTTGTGGAAGTAACAGCACATCCGACACTTTCTTCGTCTTTAGATGCATCTGTGAATATTATGTTATCAAACTTGCCTCTATTAATTATGTCGTTAAAAGTTTGTTTCATGAGTATCGTGGGGGTTTCCATTTTCTTATATATGCACAAATTTACGTTAAAGTCAGGTAATATTTTTAGCCAAGGTGGAGTATTGGGCTGAATAATGGGGGTGGTGAGATTTAGGTCAATATTTTCTAAGAGTGGCAATAGAAATTGTAGTGATGAATTGGCAGTAGCTCTACTGTGTGCTCCTGTTAATTGAAAATTTTTAATAAGTTGGAAAGATATATTATTAGGGTTTGCAGAAACCTTAGCAAAATAGGAGTTTAGTAGACGTTGTCTTCTAATATTTAGAGGGGGTTCACACGATTCGACATATATGCTTTCTGTCGGGCTAGATCTGAAGGCTCCAAGACATATTCTTAATGAAGTGTTTTGAATTGTATCTAGTGATTTTAAATAAGTTTTAGGGGCAGACATATATAATATAGATCCGTAGTCTAACTTAGATCTTATTAGGGCTCTGTATAAACTTAATAGGACTTCTTCTTCGGCTCCCCATTGTCGATTGGCTAGTGATTTTAAGAGATTTATATTTTTTAAGGCACTGGCTTTAGTTTGTTCTATATGTCTCTTCCATGTTAACTTTTTGTCGAAAATTACCCCTAAAAATTTGTGATTTTCAACTACTTGTAGTGGATGCTCTTTTAATTTTATGAGTGGAAGAGTTTGTTTATATTTTTTGCTAAAGTTAATCACTTTAGACTTTGTAGGCGAGAAGCTGAAACCAATTTTGTTCGACCAGTGAGAGATGCTATCAATAGTATTTTGCAAAAGAGTGCTAGTGGAGCTTGTTACTTTACCCGAACAGTAAATAACTAGATCATCCGCATAGATATTATGTTTGACAGGGGGTTGTACTAAGGAACTAAGGTCGTTAAGAAGCAGTAAAAATAAGGTTGTGCTGAGGACTGATCCTTGAGGTACTCCTGTCTCCAGGATATATGAGTGAGACATTTTACCATTTGCAGAGACTTTGAAACTTCTGTTAGTTAAAAAATTTTCAACAAATATATATATGTTTCCAGATAAATTAGACTCTTTAAGTTTTTCTAGAATTGCCGGCCTTGATGCTGTGTCGAAAGCACTTTCTATATCGAGTGAGACAGTTATAAGGTTGTTTCTATTAGAGAATGCTTCTATGATATCGGATTGAAGAGTGATAAGATTATCCATCGTGCAACGATTTGGACGAAATCCTGATTGAGCGGTATTGATAATATTATGTTTTTCAAGATACCAGAGTAAGCGTTTGTTAACAATTTTTTCCATGAGTTTGCAAAGTGTGCAAGTTAATGAGATGGGTCTAAATGACATAGTTGTATTGTCAGAAGTGTCATTTTTCTTGAGTGGAATTGTTATAGCTTGTCGCCAAAGTGATGGAAATTGGTTACCTAGCCATATGTTGTTGTAGAATTCTAGTAACTTTAATAGTGTATCTTCATGTAGATGTTTTAGAAATATCGATGGAATGTCATCCGGCCCTGCAGCACTGTTCTTTAGGGAATTAACAGCTTCGACTAATTCATCGATTGTTAGTGGGAGATTGACAGGATGATCATTGGAATTTGGATTCTCATGTACAACACATTTATTTGTTATGTTTGTTGGTCCAGTACAGTTGTTATCATGTTTAGTTTTATTCAAATAGTATTTGGCAAGTGTGTTTACAATCTGCTGGTCATCAGTTATGACATTGTTATCTTCTATTAGGGCTGGAATTTTGTATGTTGTGTATCTACCTTTCATCTGTTTTATTTTAGTCCATATTTGACTAGAAGGTGTATCGGAAGTTATGCTACTGATGTATTTGTTCCATGAGTTCTTTTTGCTTTCTTTCACAATTCGCTTAGATTTAGCTCTTAGTTTTCTAAAATTTATTAGATCCGCTTGGTTTCTAGTTTTACGATATCGGTTTAATGCTTTTTTACAATCTTTTACAGCTAGTTTACACGATTCATTCCACCACGGAACATATTTTTTGGAGGGATCAAAGTGGTATTTACCGATGCATTTTTCGGCGGAACTTATAATACAATTAATCAACATGTTAAGATCTTCATTAGCGGAATTCATAAAGGAGATTTTATCTGTTTGTTCCTTGACAAGTAAATTAAATAGATCCCAGTCAGCGTGAGCAATTTTCCACTTAGTTTTGCTTTGTCTTTGTGAGTTATCATTGTTAGAAATTAAAATGGGAAAATGGTTACTTCCATAGAGACTTTCCAGCGTTTTCCATGTAAGATGAGTAGATAATTCTGGATTACATATGCTTAAATCAATGGAAGAGAGAGTACCTGTTTGGATATGAAAGTATGTGCTGCTTCCAGTGTTTAGAAAATTAAGGTTGGAATTGATTATGATATTTTCAATCATTTTACCTCTACCGAAAGTATTACTGGAGCCCCACATAGTGCTATGTGCATTAAAATCTCCAACTAAGATAAATGGTTCAGGAAGTTGGTTAATAAGGTTTGTAATTTCGATAGCTGTTAGGGTGTAATAGGGAGGAATATATATGTTGCAAATTACGATTTTATTTGGACACCAAACAGTAACGGCAACGGCTTCTAGAGTTGTTGTTAAGTGAAATTCTTGGTGGAATATATCTGCAGAAATAAATATAGAGCTCCCACCACTAGCTCGTGCGTGTGATGTTCGTATAAAGTGGTAGCCAACGTAATTTTTAAGGTATGGATTATGGTTTTTAGAGAAATTGGTTTCTTGCAAACAAATGAAATCGGGTGAAGTATCAGCAACAAGCAGTTGGAGATTTTCTAGATGGGGGTAATACCCATCACAATTCCACTGGATTAAATTGAATAGGAAGAATATTAGAAGGGGGGATTTTTCAGTGCTGCGACCTTTGGGATCGATCGGAAAGGCACTCATCGTCAGTTAGTTCGCTTGATGAAATTGAGTCTGATAAACTTGTGGCTTCAGAGGATTCTAGTTGTAGTTGTTTTTTAATCTTTTTACTTAACCGGGTAAATCGGTTTTTTAGGGATCTATCTGAAAGATGTGGATATATAGTATGCAGGTTCAAAAGTAGACTTTTTACATCATCCGTGAGCTTTTTCGCTTCCGAATAAGGATCAGAATGTCCAAAACTATTTTCAAGGAAGAAAAAGAAATTGTCTATGGGTATTTTAAAGGTTTGTGGATTCTGTTTGTATGCTTCTTGGATTGTTCTCTTGGTGGTTTCGGTTAATACTAATTCTGTTGGAGTGTCAGGTTTGTGCTTTTTTTTCTTAGCTTTGGGACCTTTTTTGGGGGAAGCTGATAGAGGGGGAGGCATATCTAACAATGGTTGAGCTTCTTTCTCAGGAATTTCAGGGCTTGTTAGTTCACTAGGAGTTTCTATTTCAGAGTGTCCTCGTTTTTGAGATAATTGTGTTATGGTAATTTGGTCTGATTGTGTGGTTTCAGTGTTGGAGTCTTTATTTTCGATTTGTGGGTCTTGGGCATTATGTGTAGAGGAAGATGAAATTTTTACGGATGAGTTGGGACTTGTTGGTATATATTCGGTTGGGATTGTATTGTCTGTTGGAGGATTTGGACAGTTGGAGGCTATATGTCCTGTTTGTTTACAGATAAAACAATGTACTTTATCTGTAGAAAGGAAGATTCTGTGTTCATTCCCTTCGAAGGAAATAAGTACTGAAGTTTGTAATTCAAAATCTTCGGAGGGAGGAAATACGTAAACTTGGCGTCTGAAACTTAATACATGTGAATATTCGTCCCCAGGAATGCCTGCTCTTAAATAGGATATAGGAGATGCGATGCGAAGTCCAAGATTTTTAATGCTATTTTCAACTATGTCATGTGGTAAGAACGGAGAAACATTAGATATAATTATTCTTTTAGCAGGGGAAATAAGTCTTCGGATATTTAAAGAAACATCTCCTATCTGTATTATGGGATATGAATCTATGAGCTGGTCAACAAGATTAGTGTTAGAAAGATAGATACAAATGCGATTGTTTGATATCCTAGATGCAAAGGAGACTTGTTTAGGGCCTATTATATCACCTATAGCTTTAACGTAATCGTACAGTTTCAGATTTTCTTCGGCATGTATCACAATGGCTTGATGTTTGCTTGGAAAAGTTGGCCGTGGAATCGTTTTCGCTACTGATACATAGGATAAAACTTGGTTTTGTGTTTGAGACATATTTACTGTTTGGATATTTGGTACGCCACTGCTCATGTAGTCAAAAGCAATTGCGTTTTTAGTTGAAATTATAATTTAGCTTCTATGTATTATGATAAAGTTTCAGCTTTTTATTCATTTTAAAATAAAAATAGATTGCCGGTTGTAAGGCAATCCTGTTTAAATTTTTTCTTTTTCTGATTTTAATCAGTTGAAACAAAAAACAAACCTCAACTAGTAATGAGTGATTTATACATACATTTATTTATAGTTGAAGGTACACTTATGTTCACTGTTTTTGCACTATGTTTTACTAAGCACGACAAAATATAAAACGATGTTACTCGTTCGACACCTCGTAGTCAAAAATGCATATTAAAAACTAATAGAATAATAAAATTCAGAAAAAACAATACATTACAAAGTTAATACATAATTATAATTAGTCAATTTGAATTCAATTCTATTGTTATTTATTACTGACGTGACGCAAAATACCTTCCACGAAAGATTAATATCTACTAATTAAAATTAATAATAAGGTTATTTGTCTGCTTTTCTAGTACCAAGAATTAGGTTCAACGACTTATCCTGCTGTGGCAAAAACAGTTTTTGCCCTTTTTATGGTTTTTGTTCCAATTTTATTACTAAACATGTTGATAGCTATGATGGGGAACACGTATGCACACGTTATCGAGCAAAGTGAAAAGGAGTGGGTAAAACAGGTAATGGCAATACTGTATTTACCGAAACAAACATTACCAATAATAAAATTATATTTATTTATTAACTTGTGTACAGTTTTATTTTATTTATTTATTTATTTATTTACATAAAGTACCTCAAAAACGAGGGCCATTGATACAGAAACACTAAAATTAGATATACATACCTATATTAATTTGCAGTCGGTGAGGATGTGCTTCACTTTCAGGTAAACATTGCAACGGTTGCAAATTGGACGTGCTCCTGAGGACATCAAGAAACCATGGGTAAGCTTGGGGTGATTAATTCGGAGTCTTCTGATATTCGATGATTCTCTTCTAGTTAGGTCCAGGGATAGATGTCTAATAAACGGTTAAAGTTCATGAAGAGTTGTTTTGCTTGGTTGTCATATGTTTTACCAGATATCCTCTACTGACTTTTTGAATACGATTTTGAGATCGTTAGCTAGTTGAATTGTGGATATTCGAGCACTATGGTTGTTAGCCTCATTGGTAAAATGATTTGCTTTTTTATTAATATGAAGGTAGCCATATAAGAGATTGTAACATCGTGAGCCGAGAGATTTTTTTAGATGTCACGAATGTTTTGAACCAATGGGTGGTCAGTAAAAATTGTACTTATTGGACGAATGGCAATATGTTTGTTGTTTATGATAAATGCATTTAAAAGCCACCATAATACTATATAGTTCGCCTGAATAGCACCTGAATAACTTGAGGTTACTGCATAGCAACACAAGTGGTAGTTTTGGGAGTATCGATGAGGGAATTAAATCATATGATTTTTTTGGCATAATTTCTAAAAATGCTTTCTTTATAAGAATGTTAAGGGATTCTTGTTTGTTAAAAATGGTGAGTGCGGTGTCTTTTTAAGGAAGATATTTAGCTCAGGGAGGATTGAAGATCAAGAAAATGAACTAGTCAGACGGAGGTTAATATTTTTAAGTAGCGGGGTAATTAATTGAGGTAAAGGTTTTATGGCAAGATGATGGACATTGCTTTAGAATAAGAGGGTATTGTTATTAGGGAATGAACGGGATTGAAGGGATTTGCGGATGTTGATGTAGCATATGAAAGTAGAAGAGATTTTCGTCTTAAGGTGAGAGGAGTTTCATTCACGATATAAATTCTCGATAGGACTGGAGCTAAAGACACCTAGACATACATGCTATTATGAACAGAGTTTGATAAATATATGACATCTTTACAAGCAGACGAATAGATAAAGCTACCTAAGAATTTTACATTTATTAACAACATATAGTAGAAATTGTGAAACAAAATTTGGGACAAGGGAGTTGAGATCCTTCTGTAAAATTGTATAAATTTAGTTTTCCTCTGAAAGAGTGATAATCCTAGTTTATTAGATATATCTTAAATAATATTTACTGCACTTTGTGAAAGTTTACATGTGACGGGAACAGATTTACCATGTCAGTAAACGATTAGGTCGTCAACGTATTTTATGGGAGTAGGAAAGGACCTGCATAGTTAGTTGATTGCAAGAATGAGAAGAGTTAAACTTAATACAGATCCTTGAGGCACATCCTGATTTTTAGAAAGATATTGAGAAAACTTTCCGTTGAAAAGGACTTTAAAGGTTCTTCTAGTGAAAAAGTTTTTTAAAAATGAAACAATGTTACTATCTAAGTTATGTTCGAGTAGCGGGTAGGAACTCTTTAAACTCTTGAAGATAGTCCTATCAGGGAAATTGAATCAATACCTCCCCTTCGCAGATTCCGGGGGTTTCCTGGCCCGGAAAACTAGTACCTGTTTAGAGTCCCTTGTCCAGGGTTACGGATGAAGTTCACAACGGCAGCCACGGCAGAAACGGAGCTTCGGTACGGTACGGATGGCGTAAGTGGCAACCCTCGATTTTAGGTTACTATAGAATCAAACCAAACCTGCAGGGTCCGACCCAGAATGGACGGCTGCAAACAGCGTCTGACCCAGATGGGCGGCTGATTTAGAAACTCACCAACAGGCAAGGCTGTTTTAATTGCCAAATTTACCCCCGTCATGGCGAATTTCAAACGAATCGTAAATAGTGAACCCCTGGTGGGTAGATCAGTAATGGTAAGTCCCACACCTCATAAGGTCTGCCTCAAGCATTCTGGGGGAGGCAAAAATTCGCAAACGACAAAATCCAAAAAACACATATTGATGCATATTGCTACCTACAATGCGAGAAGTCTGTTGTCAAAAGAAAGAAGTTGTCAGAAAATCAGCGAAGTCCTAACGGCACCCTAAACGGCGTACCCACACAATACGTGATAATATGTGGTGATTTCAATGCGAAAACAGAAATCAAATAATGTCCAGAAGAAACATCACTTGGACAATTTGGACTAAATGGAAGGAATGAAAGAGGAGAGACCTTCATTGGTTTTCTCCTTCAGAATAATCTAGTCCAAATGAATAGCTTTTTCTATAAGAAACCACATAGAAGATGGCCTGGGCAAGCCCAGATAATAAAACAAAAAACGAAATTGACTTCATAATTACAAACAAAAAAGAAATCATCCAAGACGTAACGGTCCTAAATGCATTTAAACACTGGTAGCGACCATAGAATGGTAAGAGCAGAAGTTAAAATAAGCACAAAACAAGAGAGACGCAAATTAGTAAATATGAAACCAATACCAATATGGACCCAACCTAGAGATATTAAAGAATATCAAAACGACATCGAAACCAAACTGAGAAACAATACAGACATAACTCTCAACGAAAACATAGATGCACTAAACCAACATATGACGCAAGCCATTGGAGAAAGCTTGAGAAAACACTGTCCCAGAAATCAGAATGAAGAAAAACTTAGTACTGACACCAGGAATTTAACAAAACAAAGAAATCTTATTACAGAAAAAAGAAAGGTAAACAGAGCAAAAGAGAAAGATAAACAGAGAAGTCAAGAAAGCAATAAGAAAAGACTTAAGAAAGTACAATATACCAAAGATCAAACAAACCACAGAAAATAATAAAGGCCTAAAAAGTCTGCGAAGAAAACTAAATAATAGAAAAAATCAGATCATTAAATTAAAAAACAAAAAGGAAAAAATAACAACAAATAGAGAGAAGCTTTTAATAACAGTAGAAGACTTCTATGGAGAACTTTATAAGAGCAGACGGATGAACCAACACAGCTAAAAGATACAATAAGCAAAACAATATTAAATCGAGGCTCTGAACTCGTGCCAGAAATAACTCTCAGTAAAACTAGACAAACGATGAATAAAATGAAATCCAATAAATCACCAGGAGACGATGGAATTGTGATCGGGGCTGTTAAGAATGGCGGTGAACATCTGATGAGAAAAATAAAAGATATCTTTAATCTATGTTTGGCAAAGAAATCCATCCATCTGAATGGAATAGAGCCAAAACAGTTCTTCTGCACAAAAAAGGAGAAAAACCTGATCTGGAAAATTACTGACCAATCAGTCTGTTAAACCATCTTTATAAACTTTTCACGAGATTAATCACCACAAGATTAGACAAAAATTAAACCTATATCAAAGTAGAGAACAAGCTGGAGTTCAGAACAAACTTTGGAACCAACGATCACCTCCAAACAATAAAACAACTCATCGAAACATCTATAGAATATAACAAACCCTTAGTTTTAACATTCGTAGATTTCCACAAAGCATTCGACTAGTATGTCGATAAAAGCCGATATTCGAGGCTAATATATATATAATATATATATATATATATATACTATATATACTATATATATATATATATATATATATAATAATATATATAAATGCGACAAGCTCGTTACAACTACACGCTAACACAAAAACTTTTCATATCGGCTATAGAAAAAACGATTAAAACCCTCGAATGGGTGTTAAAGGAATAATGTGGACGAAGAGATGTTACACCACCTAAGCTATGCAGACGATATAGTCCTGATTGCAGACGATTTGGGACAAACAAAGAAAAGTTGAAAGAACTTAATACAGCCTGTCATAAAATAGGTTTAAAAATGATTATAACAAAAACAATATATAAGTATGACTATACTTAGTACCAAGTAAACACCTAGAAATACAAAATGGAGAAATAGAACTGTGACAAATATAGATATATATATATATATATATATATATATATATATATTATATATATATATATAGATATATATATATATATATCTGGTCACGAAATTAAGATAAGTGAGGACAATCAAACAACCGAAGTATTCAGAAGAATAATACAAGGATGGGCAGCATACGGAGCTCTTAGGAACGTTTTTAAGAGTGACATCCCAACTAATATGAAGAAAAAAGTTTTCAACCAATGCGTGCTACCGGTGATGACCTATGGTGCAGAAACATTATCGCTCACATAAAATAGAAAAACGCACACAAACTAGGAGTAGCGTTGGCAACGATCAATGATATGGGCCATTCTGCGAGACCAGATTAAGACCACAGGGCTAAGACCAAAGTCATAGACGTCATTGAAAGAAGCTGTAACTTAAAATGCAAATGGGCTGGACACGTTGCCAAAATGAAGGAAGAAAGATGGACTAGCAAACTAGTTGAATTAGGACCAAGAGCCTATTAACTTATCAGATGAAGACCACCAACACGATGGCAAGACGACTTACGAAAGACAACAAAAAACTGAATACAGCAAGCACAAGATAGAACACTTTGGAGACAAACAGGGGAGGTCTATGTCCAGCAGTGGATTGAGAGAGGCTGATGATGATGATTAAGTTATATGTAGTAGGACAGTTTGTCAATTATTGCATTTCTAGAGGTTGAATCAAAAGCTACTTCAATGTCGAATATAGTTGCAACGACATCTTGTAAATTATTGATTGCTTGAGAAATGTGTGAAGGTTGCCAAGAGTATACCGGTGACGTCGGAAGCCGGATTGAGCATCGGGAAAATATTATACTATTCAAGAAACCTAGTGAGTCTTTTATTTTTCATTTTTTTAAAAGAAGTTTGTGGGTGGTAATGGTACTGAAATCGGACGAAATTATTTAGAAGTTACATGGAAAGATTGATCAGGTTTTGTAATTGGAATGATTATAGAATTGCGTCAAATATCTGGGAATTTATGTGTGTTTCTAGATAAGATTATAAATTTCGAGGAGTTCGGAGAGAGATGTATTGAAAATATTTTATAAAAAGATATAAGGGATATCATTGGGACCAGCGGCAGATTTTCTAAATGAAGACAAGACAAATTTTACTTCATGTAGGGTAAAGGGGGCGTTAGTAAACATGAAAATATTAAGTGTGAACATATCTGGGAGAATATCTGGGAGAACAGATGATACAAGAAATTGATGAAGCAGTAACAAAGATACAACCCATAAAAGACAACACAAAAGTTAACATCAATGAGAATTTTACAGACATTAAAACAGCGTTAATGAAAACCAAGCATAAGTCACCTCCATAAAAAGTAAAGAATATAAAAAAGAATGGATGACAGATGACATACTGAACTTAATGGATGAAAGAAGAAAACAGAAAAACACAAAAAGAACCAGAAGTATAAAGAGATACAAAAGAAATTCGTCTAAAAATACGCACAGCTAAAGAAAACTGGTACGGGGAAAAATGCGAAGAAATCGAACAACTACAAAATAAACACGACAGCTTTAATGCACATCGGAAGATCAAAGAGTGACGAGGAGACAAAGGTAAAAGACACAACATATTAGTAGACGAGAGTGGAAACATTATTATGGACACAGAAGAAAAATTAAGAGTCTGGAAACAGTACATAGAACAACTGTTTAAAGATTAAAGAGACAATGTAGATAACGAATACATAAACAGTGACACAGGACCAGAAATAACAAGAGATGAAGTGGAATACACGATTAAAGAAATGAGGTCGGGAAGGCTACAGGCCCAGATGAACTACCAATAGACATAATTAAACTCATCAAATGCAACAACTTAATAAAGATCGTGGAACTATTTAACAGCATTTACAAATCTGGTATCATACCTAAGAGAATGGCTAGTAACAACAATAATAGCCATACCCAAAAAGTCTAATGCAAGACAATGCTCGGAACATCGCACCATCAGTCTCATATGTCATATATTAAAGGTCTTCTTAAAAATCATTCATCGGAGAATATATAAAAATTGGAAGTTGACATCGACCCTCTCAATTTGGCTTTAGAGACGGACTAGGAACTAGAGAGGCACTGTTTGCTTTTAATGTTCTAACACAACGATGTTTAGACGTAAATCAGGACATATTTGTTTGTTTCCTAGACTATAACAAAGCATTTGATACAGTAAAACATAGGCCACTATGCAAATACTGGAAAATAAAAATATTGATACAAGGGACATGCGAGTGATAAGGAATCTATACTACAAACAAGAAGCTACAGTACGAATTAACAGCTCGATATCAGATAGAATACAGATAAAAAGAGGTGTTCGGCAGGGCTGTGTGTTGTCTCTAACCTTGTTCAATGTCTACGCGGAAGAGTTATTAAAAAAGCTTTTATGAACGAAAAAAGCCGGAGTAAAGATCAACTGTCACCCCATTTGCAATATCCGATATGCTGATGATACCGCGCTCATAGCAGAAAAATATTGACGACCTACAGAGATTATTAAATAAAGTGGTAGAAGCAAGTGAAGAATTTGGTCTGTCACTGAATACAAAGAAGACCAAATTCATGATAATTACAAAGAAACGTATCAATAATATCAACTTACATGTAGGACAGAATCTCATTGAACGAGTACAAAATTACAATTACCTCGGAACAAATATTAACGATTCAAACGAATACACCAGACAAATAAGAATAAGAATAGAGAAAGCCCGCAGTGCCTTTAACAACATGAAAGAAATGTTGTGTAGCCGAAACTTAAACCTAAAGCTGAAAATACGAATGCTTAAATGTTATGTTTTCTCGGTCCTGTTATATGGGGTGGAGGCGTGGACACTAAATAAGTAATGTATGGGTAAGCTGGAGGCATTGAGATGTGGGCGTACCGAAGAATGTTAAAAATCTCCTGGAAAGATAAGATAACTAACCAAGTTGTATTAGACAGGATGAACAAACAAAAGGAGGTCGTATTGAGTGTTAAAATGAGGAAACTACAATACCTGGGACATATTACACGTGGGAATAAATATCAACTGTTACAACTAATTATGCAAGGAAAGATTGAAGGTAGGCGCAGCATAGGTAGGAGAAGAATGTCATGGTTGAGAAACCTCAGGGAGTGGTTTGCTTGCACTTCCATACAATTGTTCCGAGCGGCAGCCTCCAGGTCAAAATTGCCATGATGATAGCCAACCTTTGTAGCGGAGATGGCACGTGAAGAAAAAGAAGATATCTGGGAGAGAAGCCGTATTATTTTTATTGAATTTATCTTCGAAATACTATGATGTGTCGGCAATTACTTGGCTATCAGAGATAACTGTATCAATGAAACTCTACTACCTTCACCAGGTTACAGTCATTCCTATTATATTTCACCCAGCCGTTTTTCACAATATCGTATGCAGCTGCTAGATCAACTAGTGTGAATCAAATTGTCTGACCCTAATTTATTCATTTTTTTTTGTGACAAATAAGGATTACAATTTTATTAATATCATTTTAGTGGGCCAAGATAGTGATTGCATTGGAAAGAGCTATTCCTCAATCAGACGCTCACCATTATTTGCAAGAATACAGCATTTCATTAGGAGGCGGTGATGATCCCAGCACTGGCTCAGAGGTGTTATGGTCATTAAATCAAAAAGTAAAACGCGAGCTAAACAACGCAAGGGAGCAGTTGCAAATTGGAATGGTAACGAATATTTTTACGTAAATCCGGGAATGGTGATTTAAACGAGATTATTTCTTTAAACAGATCTCTATACATTTTCTACCTTATTATTTTATTATATTATTGTAATATATTATATGAGATTGACATATTTTTGGACAAAGACCTCCTTATATAACCATAAGGCAAAAAAGTTATTAAAAACTATATAGATATATTATTCATTTATTTTAAATATTACTTAAGAATTTTGCTAAAAGAATGTACAAAACCGAAAAAGTTTGTTGGGCAAGTGTGGGCATAACACCGCGGCCAAGTGTCAATTTTTAATTTTCTGAAATGACGTAACCCCATTACGTAGGTGGGTGGTACACTATAAAGAATTACTTACTATCGAAGTAGAAGCTCCAAATCAACCACCCCAGGGGGAAGTAACAATACACCATTGGAGCCTCCATCAATTCAATAAGTGCGGGATGCAATAAAACCCCTAAAAAATAATAAATCTCCAGGAAGTGATGGTATACCCGCGGAACTTATTAAATGTGGAGGTGCTACTCTGACTAACCATACATATAAAAATCATACTGAAAGCTTGGATTGAGGAACAAATTCCGGAAGAGTGGTGTATTGGGATCGTTTGCCCGCTACACAAAAAGGGTGATCAACTTGGAATGTAGAAAATATAGGGGAATAACCCCCCCTTAATACAGCATTACAAAATATTTTTCGAGTATTTTATATAGTCGCCTGAGTGCATATTCAGAGGAGCTTCTTGACGAATATCAAAAGTGGTTTTAGGCCTGGTCGATCAACAACAGACCAGATCTTTGTGCTAAGCCAAATACTAAAAAAAAAACCAATGAATTCAATATCGACACATACCATCTTTTCGTAGATCTTAAATCGGCCTATGATAGTATCCAAAGAAATAAATTGTATGAAGCTATGGATAAATTTCACATCCTTGATAAACTTATAAGATTGGTTAAAGCTACAATGCGTAAAGTTGTCTACAAAGTCAAAATACAGGGCAAACAATCACAGGCATTTGAAACGCATGTTGGGCTGCGAGAGGGAGATGCGCTGGCGTGTCTCTTTTTCAACATAGCCTGAAAAGGCGGTCAGGGATGCCCAAATAGACAACAAAGGAAACATTTTTAATAAATCATCCCAAATTTTGGCATATGCAGATGATGTTGACCTAGTTGCCCGCACAATACGCAAACTAGAAGAAATGTATACCACCTTGTCAAATGCCTCCAAAAATATGGGGCTGTAAGAAAATGAGGAGAAAACTAAGATAATGGCATCAACACCCAACAATAGAGCCAGAAACATCGGATACCAATTCACTGTTGATAACTCTACCTTTGAAGTGGTGGACAAATTCACATACTTAGTTAGGCTCCCTGGTCACCAAGGAGAACGTCATGATGGAATAAATCAAGCGAAGAATAATCCTAGCAAATAAATGCTATTTTGGATTGAGTAGACATATGAGAAGCAGAAACTTAAGCCAAAAAAACAAAAAAACAAAATAACCATATACAAAAACCCTTATACAACCAGTGTTGAATATGATGGACCATTTCCAAGGTAATGATGAAAACCTCTTGCTTATATTTGAACAAAGGATCCTGAAAAGAATATTCGGTGGCTTCTGTGAAAATGGTGTTTGGAGAAGAGGTACAACTATGAAGATATAGCACAGATTATAAATATATATTTGGTGGTAGAGACGTAGTATCTCTTATAAAAATAGGAAGACTAAGATGGGCAGGACATCTGGTAAGATCACAGCAGAACAACCCTCCTAAAAGAATCCTTATGTCACAACCTGTGGGAAGTAGAAGTAGGGGTAGGCCAAAACTCAGATGGAGGGATGGTGTAGATGAGGATAGTAGAAAAATAGGCGTAGCAAACTGGGAACAGTTGGGCACATGGATAGAAATGTTACTAGCGTAATAGACTTGAGAAGGCCGAGGCTCTTTTATAGGGCTGTAGCACCAATGAGGATGATGATGACGTAACCCCGTAAACAATTATAGAGGTTATACATTCTTTTCAACAAAATTCTAAATAATCTTTTTTTGTGAAAATGATTTCCGGAGTGCAAATCCTAACGTCAAATTTTTGTATTTAGTTTAAAAATATAATTATCTTTACAATCAATTGTGGCTTAAATCCATATAAACACAGTATTTAACTTAGATATGCCACAAAGACAATCATAGACATATAATACGAGATGAACTGATCGTTGCAATATCACCCCATTCTCCCAGTGCGACAAAAAAACTGACGCAAATTTTTGTCTAATAGGCCGGGTTTATCGACCGTGTGACCTAAATGACTAATAAGAAGGTCACGTGGTCGATAATAAACCGGCCCATTAGACAGAGATGCAGGGACTGCTTTGCGTCAGTTTTCTCTGTAGCGCTGGGGGAATACGTAATGCATTGCATGCAGCCAGTCTATCCTGTATTATATGTCTATGAGAACAACAGTTTCGTAACCTTATTTTTAAAACTCGTCTCACTAATAGTGGTTAGAAATTCTCGAAAATAATGCATTATCAATTCTTGAGTTCTTTGACTATTTAATTACGGCTTTAAATGTAAAACAATCTTTCTGAAAGAAAATTTCATTTATTGCGTAAGTTAGTGATACAATATTTTGTGTTTTCAATTTGTTTAATATTGCAATGTCACCACATTCATAGCTGTTTCTATTGTTTACGCTACAAAATTTTTTTTTGGTTAGATTCGTTTATAATTTTATGCGTCTCCTCAGGAGAGTACACAAGCGGAGCATACTTGTTGTTTTTCTATAAGAGCAAAATCCCTATCAGACGGAAAGTGAGTGTGTCCGCTGACTAAAAAATTGTTTGTAATAGACTGAAACTTTTGTTCCTTCACTAGCTGAAGCCATAAAGACATTAAAAGCCAGTTTTTGTTTGCCCGGGACAATTATCCGTAAAAAAAACGAGATGTTCTACTTCACTATCTTTGACCTCAGAAATTTTGTGAATAGGTATTGACGCAATTTCATCACTTCCTTTTTGCAATCGTTTTCCGTCCAGGACAAATATATGACCAGCGTCTTCCGTACAATAATGGATTTCCTATATTATAACATTCATATTTTCCTGTAGTAAAATGCAGGATCAGTGGTTAATTTGGGAATCGGTAACGATGTTGGACCGAGCTGTTTGGCTCTTCAGTAATTGATGCATTACCTGAGCCTTACACTTTTGCAAGTTAAGTCTTGTTGTTAATTCGCTATAATCTGTTTTTCTAGTTTTGCTG